TATTTGTGCAGCAGTAAAACAGAATACATTGAAAAGCCTAAGCATCTCCTGTTCACCTGTTTCTCAAATACACAGCTTGGCCTCTGTCCCCTCAAGCTACTTTTTTTAAAAAAAATTGCAGTGATAGGGCCAGGTTAGTTAGCCTCACAATTGTTAATTAGTAATAGCATTTAAGATTACATTTTTTTCAGTTGATGAAAACAACAGAACTTTAAAAATGTCTAACTGCACAATTTTGAGGTGAAAATTTGGGATGTGAGAAGAGCAACATCTTATTTTGAGATAAAGGGTTTTCTTTAAAGTTTTATTCCATTAAGTTTAAAGTAGTTGTATTTTGAAACTACTGTTGTGTAATAATGATATTTGTATTTTAAATTTAGAGATAGATTGTTGTGATTTGTTTTATAACCTGCTTTTTAAAAATTATGCTGATGCCAAGTTGGAGAACCCCTAAAGACTTTTATTTATTTCTTGATTTATCTCCTGCCTCTCTCTCAGAATGGAGTTCAGGGGAGGTTACAATAAAGATACATTTAGAGTGGATTGTACATGTCTACATAATAAAAGTCTCTTCCACTGATTACTTGCACCTTGAGTTCCATTGGGAAGAAGGTGGAGTATAGATTCAGCAATGATATATTGGGTAGCATTGTTGATGACTCTGTTAATATCTGTTTAAAAGAGACCTGGATACTACTGGAATATAATTTTTGGAATTTCCAAGATATATTAGGTCTGATTGTACAACTGTTTCCAAGTGAACCTCAAAAAGTACAGTACTACTTTTGTATCTGAGAGCTCTGAGGCTTTCCCTGTTTAATGCTTTTCCATTTGTGTAGAGCAACTTCCAGAAAGATTGCCTGTACGTCGAACACTGATTCACAAAATCAGTTATTGTTGGCTTCAGAAAGATTCAATTCCTTGATAGTGAGCTTTATCAGAGAGTATAGCCCTGTGCATACTGCTCAGAAGTAACTTCCACAGCTATATAAGACTTTTGCCCCCCAAATTCTGTAAGTGATTACAGGAGTGCTGCATTAACTTCACATTTTTTCTATGCCACTGAAGCAGTATTATTTTAATATTAGAAAGAATTATTAGTTAGTTATTTAATTGAGACTTGCCATTTCAAATCAGACAACCAGGCCGATAATTGGATAGAAAATGCTTGTTTGTGTTCTGAAAATATGCAATAGTTGCAAATCTGTGTTTCTGAGACTAAATCCTTGTGTGCATGGTCGGAATTTGCAAAGCCTTGGGGGGTTTTTTCCTGATTACAACCTGTTTACATCAAAAGTTGTAGGTAACTTTTTAAAAGCAAACATTCTGTTATTTGACCTCCCCCCCCCCCGCGCGCAATATCAACCTATAATTCTAATGTAAAATAGATTCATTTTGTTAAAGTACTATTATGTCATCCTTTAATGAAAATGCTAGTAGATCAAATAAAGGTCCTACTTTCATCCAAAAAATTTGCAAAAACAGTGGAAAGAGATGGAAAGGGGGAAGGAATAAAAAAGGTTCAAGTTCTGAAAAGTTATAGAATTGTTGTACTGATCAGAAGGGATTGAAGGTGTTGTGAGAGTGGAGCTAAAAGAAGTTGATCTATTAGCAGAGCTGTGGCCTGGCCCTGCTTCCCCCAGAGTTAGGCCTTAACCCTCCACCAAAAAGAGGAAGCCAATTGCTAAAAGCAGCAAAAAATAAGTAGATTTACATAAAATGTGAAAATACCGATTTACATACCTAAAAGAAAATATGGAAATAATGACTATAGTTTGAATGAAATGCAGCACACTCCCATTGTGATAGAAGATACCTATCTACCTGTAACTTCAAAACTTCTGCTATCTCTTACTATTTATTTTTAAACTAGACATGGGCAGAACAGCCTTCCAAATGTCTCCTTCTGCTCTGTATCCTGGTGAAGTGATGTCTGTGAGATGGTGAGGAAGAATCAAGGTGTTCTTAATGAACCATTGTGCACTCAGATTGAGACTGATTAAAATAATGCTGTTTGATAGCCGCAGGGCACTGATTCATTCACCATTTTTATATACTGTTATCTTGAAAGTTTTTCAGTTACATTCTGTTCTTTATTTTCTTAGAAGTTAATAGCTTCTTTTTATTATCTGTACTTGGTTTTGACCTCTTATCTAACCATAAAATACATTATTAACACTAAGCTTTAATGTGTCCTATAAATGTGTCCTATAAATACAAATACTTTCTCACAACAAATTAAACTTAAGAGAAATGTTTTGAAAATAGGATACTACCTGAGGAGTTTTAATCTGTATTTTTTAAATTTTATTATGGATTATATCAAGTACCTGACTTTTAAAAATACGTAACTTTTTTTCTAAGCACTGCAGAGTCAGCATAGAGCATATCAACCAGTCAATCGTATCTATAGCCAGAGTAAGACTCAAGGTGCCTCACAGAATAACTTAACCGTTGGAGCCAGACAGTCAGAATCTAATATCAATGGAATTTAATTTAATTCTGATCAATTTGTTGCACAGCTTTCAGAGGGATTGAAGCATAATTAACTTGGAAAGCAATCCAACTGTCAAATGATAAATCAAGGAACAACTAGGCCAGGTGAAGATATGCTGAATCCAAGTACCTTTAATTGTAAAGATAATGGAAATTACTTAGGACTGACTTAATTTTGTGTCCATATTGTGCCTGTGACCTTGAGCATGATGTGGTTTAGCTCTGATTTGGTCCTCAGCATAAATCTCAGGCTACATCCAGGGATTTCTACATATATGCAGAGTTTTAGCTAAGCAGAGGCAATCCATCTCTTTTCATTGTTAAAATACGTTTCACATAGATGGATGCCAGTGCTCTTCATGTCCTCTCATTTCCTTCTGGACCATCACAGTTCATCTTTCTGTCCCTTTCCTGCCCATCCATCATAAGCAGACCGCTTCACTAGATAACAGCTGTTATTCAAATGAATTCTACCCTGGACATATTCTCTTACCCACACTATTATTTTTCAGTTAGATTAGAAGCTGGGTGAGAGCAGGGCAAGCATATCAAAACTGTTGGAAGAGTTTATGTTTCGCATAGTTGCTAGGCAAATGTTCTTTGTTAATTTTGTAGAGTTAGCTTTCCTTCAGACTTCATGCCACAGGGCAGAGCAGAAGTAATACAACTGTCTGTTTCTGTTAGCGTTCCCGAGCGTTGTCTTCCTGGCTTTATTATACCTAAACAAAAGTGTGAATGTTGATGTCATTACAGTTTTACATTGGTTGTTAAACCAGTCTGTCCTAGTTATCAAACTGAAAAACAAACCCCTTTCTGGCTGTAATTGAGCATGTTTTGATTAAATACAGTGAGGTCTATTATTAATGAAAAATGGAAATGCTCTTACACAGTTTGTTTTTTAAACTGAACAAAAGGATAAATATTTATAATATAGTTATGAAATAAGGCCTAATTGGAAGCCTAATGGTATTGTGTTCATTTATATGTTTGTTTTTAGACACTTCGTGCCATTGGTAGACTGCCCCAAGTCACTTCAGGGAGATGGTGGCGCCGCTAAGAATTTTGTGACACTTAAAAGATACAATAGCTAGCCTTCTAGACTAGAAGAATTAGTACTGGTACTGTTTCGTTATCCTGGTGGAGGCCACTAGGGACCACTAGAAGGAGAGGGGAAACAATTTCTCCCATTGAAGGAGGAAAACAATTTCTCCCATGTTTGCATGTTAGTCTCCCTCCTCCCTTCCCATATCATAAAGGAGGGTTGTTTCCATGACAGGGACATGGGGGGGGGGGGGTGATAACAGGAAAACAGGGGAAGTTGGTTTTTCCTCATCAACCCACCATCCTCCCCATAAAATGAAGTATCCTCTCTCTAGCGGCCCCTAGTGGCCTCCTCCTGGATAATGGAACAGGATGAAACAATCTTGGTGGGGGTTGTCACAACCGACTAATTTTTTTCTTCTCTGGCATTAATGAAAGCAGATTTCATCCAGTAATCTAGAATAGGGGCGGTCATACTTCCTGAAAAGTAAAAAAATAAAACTTCTCTTTTAACTTGCTCAGATATAACTAGAGCAAGACTGGGTTAGTGGTTTGGCTGCTGGTTTCCTCTCTGACAAAATAGGTTCTAGCAGAATAACTTCGTTATTTCATTGCGTGAGAAAAAACCTTGTGGCATCTGAAAAATTACCACATTTCCTCCTAAATTTAATTTCTCGCCTCTTGAATGGTACATCAAATCTTACCTACATCTCATTGATTAAATAGATTTCACCTTACTTGCACAATTATGCAAACATGGGATAAGTAAATATTGCTAAATTTTAATGTGATAGATTTTTTATTTTCCTTTAGATGTTTTCAGATAGTAAAAATCTTTGGTTATGAATTGGGAAGCTGAGTTTCTGATTCTTCTTTCTCTGACACAACAACAACAACAAAAAGGATCCAGTGATGACATAAGTGAAAAAGCTAGAAATATTGTGTGGCCTGGAAGTAAATTTACAATATCTAGGTCCCTTACCTCTTAGCTTGCTCAAGGTACAGCAAAATGAATTTGTCTATTCATATGAATAGACTCAGCAAATCAACTGAAATCAATGTCTTTATGCTTTAAAATCAGGCTGGCAGTCAAAATTCTGTCCTTACTGATATACTGTATAGCAGTTATATGAATAATGTGCACTTTGAGGTTCATAGTAAATTGACTCTCTTTACAGTGAGACTAGTAAGTACAGGGCTTGACTAGAGCCCCATCTATACTACCATTTAATGCAGTTTCAGAATACAGATTAACTACATGGAACTGGATTATGTGACAGTGTAGACTCATAAAATCCAGTCAATTCTGCATTTTATGAGTCTGTACTGGCCATGTAAGCCAGTTCAAACTGCATTATTTGGCAGTGTAGATGAGATTTAAAAGACAGTGAGTGATAGTATAGCCCCTGTTTGAAGACTATTGTAATCTCTCACTTCCTTTTTCTTACTCCTACCCTTTTAAGGTGGTGATAGCTGTGAATACCTTCTGTCTAGTGGACGATTTCTTGGAGAGAATGTGTGGCAGCCTTACAGCTGTATGCTGCACAAATACAAGCAGAGGTAAGATAAAACACCTAGATGTAAAGCATTATCTTTTGGGATTGTTATACCACTAGAAATTTGCTATGCAGTTCAGACGGAGCATAATAACACTTTCTTTGTGCTATTTATGCAAAGTGTTTCAATCTCTGGCTGTAGCTGTCAGTAATTAGCACAATTGAAATAGACACTGTTCTTCAGACTTCATGTTGAGTATCTATCTGGAATTCCAAAATACTCCAGTTTCCTAAAACAGCTCTTTATGCACAAAAGCTGTAGGTTCAGCAGTTCTGTTTAGTCAGTTTTACAAACATATATTCCAGTGAGGTCCAGCTGTACATTTGATCTGCTCTCTAAATTGATAAGTACAAAGCAGTAATAGTACAAATCATTAATGAACAAATTCTCACATAGGCATGAATGCATGCACAGTCAGTGTAATGTGGGAAAACTACTAGCAAAGCATCTTAATTCTAAATGCAGAATTGCTTTAATTGGACCTTTAGAGTAAATCGATTTGGTATTACAACCTTTGTAAAGAATCCATTCTATAAATTCTATAGATTTCAGTAGAACGAATTGAATATGCAATTTGACTGCTCTATATTACTAAAGTATACCTGTGTTTGAGGGAGAAGTGGGGAAAGAGAGACAAAGGGGCCAACTACCTTTCTTCTCTGATAGTTGAAACAACTTTCTTTTCATTATTGGTGTTTCTTTCTTTCTTTTTTATACAGTGAAGCAAAAGATTGTCTCACAGGCCAGCATATTACCTTTATAGGTGATTCTAGGATTCGTCAGCTGTTTTACTCATTTGTAAAGCTCATAAACCCTCAGTTTAAAGAAGAGGGAAACAAGGTATGCTTTTCAGTGTTTAGCCCTCTATAATACATGTTGTTGTTGTTGTTGTTGTTGTTATTGGGATGCTACAGACTTTCTGAGAGTTTGACTATGATTTCAGCATTCATTCTAACCCAGGGGTCCTCAAACTAAGGCCCGAGGGCCGAATGTGGCCCTCCAAGGTCATTTACCCGGCCCTCGCTCAGAGTCAACCTAAGTCTGAAATGACTTGAAAGCACACAGCAACAACAACTATCCTATCTCATCACCCAAAAGCAGGCTAACACTTCCCACTGAAATACTAATATTTGTTAAAATTGTTCTTAATTTTAATTATTGTATTGTTTTAAAGTGTTTTTTTGCACGGCAAATAAGATATGTGCGGTGTGCATAGGAATTCATGCTTTTTTCAAATTCTAATCCGGCCCTCCAACAGTTTGAGGGACTGGGACCTGGCCCTCTGTTTAAAAAGTTTGAGGACCCCTGCTAACCCAAGACTGTAAACCATAATTTGCTTGTGCGCTGTAATTCCAGTTTATAAATCTCAGTAAGAGGGTGACAGCCAGCAAGACACAGCAGCATCATTTCTTATGTAATATTTATATTATATTATAAGTTTTATCTTATGTATATTGAAAACCTGAGGGCAAATTAACATTTTGTAAGCTGCTCTGTGTGTCTTTGTAACTGAGGAGTGGGATAAAAACTCTCTAAATAAATACAAAAATAAGGAATGCTTAACCAAAATTTGCTGTTTTAAATATCTGCCAATATGAATGTTAAGATGAATTAATGACAGTTATGGATTAAGGGAGGCAAAAATACACGGGCACACTGTTCATTAGATCAAAATGTGTTATCAGAACAAAGCCAAATAATGTGATTATATCAGAAAGAAAACTAATCAGGATTTCTTTTTTTTCTTTTTTTTTTAAACCCTTTTCTTAATCTGTATTTGCTTTTACTGGGAGAGAGTTTTACCTTTCTTCAGACCTCAGTGATTCACATTCACCCTTTTTGCAAAACACTCAGTACTCTCTCCCAGAAAAAAAACAGAACTGCTACTCATATCTAGCAAGGACTACGATTGCTATGTAAAGATTACTGTATTCCTTCTAGCTAATTTTTGTCTCCAGAATAACTTTTAAAACACACACACACACTGTCACCTTCAGGATACTTCCTGTTTTGTTTTTTTTAAGAGGTACTTCAATCCTAAAATTGGCTATTTAAAAGGATTTGTTGGTTCTGGGCCTTATCATGCATGTTCTGGGTGAAATTGGTCATTAATCTACTTTATTGAGTTTTTGGTTTTAGTTGTGAGGTGTCTTGAGAGCCAGCATACCCTTGTTTAAGAATTTGGTTGTGGAAACACATCTGGGTCAGCTGCCACATTGTGTTGTAGTACTGCCCAAGTACATTTCATTCGACTCAGCTTCTGGCATCCAAGAGGCATTATCTTTGGCTACAACTGGGTGATCGGGAAGATTTTTTCATCATGTCAGAAGCGACAGTACTTCTCTGAAAACAGTATCATAACAATTGAATTTCCCTAAAATGTTCCTTACTTTAAAATTGCAGATTTCAAGTCAGTCTGGAAGCACGATGAGCAGGAAAGATTTTCTTACACCCATTAGTTCCTAATTTTACTTTGATATGAAGCATACACTTGCTGCAATTTTTGTTGGGAGAATGACTGGCATTAGTATCAGTGGCACCTTACATTTGTTGCAAAATGCAGGTTGGGAAGGAGAAACTGAAATATAGGAGGAAAGGGTTAAAACATTTTGTGTACCTGCTGGCCCTGTACTATTTAAAGTAAAACACACTCATCCAAAGTAAATATTTAATGGAGTTCTGGAGAGTAATGTCATTCATAGTCCTTCTTTTAACTTTGATAGCATGGAAACATTCACTTTGAAGACAAATCTTCATCTTCTTCTCCGAAAGTGGTAAGCATATAGAATTTGCTTCAAAATTATAATGAAGAAGTGTAGTTAGTATTTTGATGAAATTGATGTACATAAGTTTAGTTATAATTTCAAATACTAACTAGAGTAAACTCACTAAAGCAAAGGGATTTGCATAAGTGTTCGCATATGAATATTATTGTTATTATTATTGTTTTGTGGTATTTTGTGCTGTTCGTGAATTTATTGATAGTTTTATTGTTACAGAAATTTAAAAGTGTGCTTTTCCTTTTGTGAGCCAACCTGAGGTTCTTGCTTGGAAATAATAAGTATTTTTTTTAAAAAGCAATAAGCATACAAAAGGGGTTCTTCTCTGTTCATTGGTTCTTCACTATTATAATGAAACAAATTAAGTTCGGGTCTATGATCCAGTGCAAAACAGGTAGAATAAACAAGAGATAAACAATTTGCTGTTAATGAAATCGGTTTTAAGATTACAGTATTTACATTTGCTAATAAGTCTCTACTTCTCTTTCAGGATTTCCTGTGGTATCCAGAAGTCAATGGCTCTATGAAGCAGTGTATCAGGTCTTGGATTGACGTGAGTTGCATAGATAATGTTTCAAAGATAATAGAAGCCAATAGTATCGTCCACTATGAAAATATTTCAGAAATTTCCAGGCCCAGAGGCTAGTTTAATTGCAGAGTCAGGGGAGAAAAATGCTGTGCTTTAAAGGCATTTTTAGCCCATTGGGGACATAAAATGCTCAAAGGCTGGCCTCTTGGAAATCCTTAAGTGCAATCTTCTATTCTTTAAGTGTCACTTTGTGTTGGTGATGACTACTGCATTTAAGGATTTCTAAGGGCAGTAGCTAAATTTATCTAGGCAAAATCCAATATGTATTACAAATTGATGCACTCTCTTTTGAATAGGCAGCTTATAGCTATTATGTGTGGATCATAATAAATTGTGGCAAGTTCTTGGTGGTATGGGGATACTAAGTCACCTTGTCTGTCTCCTGAGGAATCTATATAATGACCAAGTAGCAACAGTAAGAATCACGGAACAACAGACTGGTTCAAGATTGGGAAAGGAGTACAGCAGGGCTGTATGCTCTCACCTGACCTATTCAACTTGTATGCAGAACACATCATGCAACGTGCAGGCTTGATGAATCCAGTGCTGGAGTTAAAATTGCTTGATGAAACATTAGCAACTTTAGATATGCAGATGATAACACTTTGATGGCTGAAAGCGAGGAGGAGCTTTTTAAATCAAGGTGAAAGAAGAAAGTGCAAAAGCTGGGTTGCAGTTAAACATAAAAAAACAAGATGATGGCAACTAGACTGATTGATAACTGGCAAATAGAGGAAGAAAACTTGGAGGCAGTGACAGACTTTGTATTTCTAGGTGCAAAGATTACTGCAGACTCAGACTGCAGCCAGGAAATCAGAAGACGTTTCCTTCTTGGGAGAAGAGCAATCAATGACCAATCTCAATAAAATAGTGAAGAGTAGAGACATTGCACTGGCAACGAAGATTTACATAGTTAAAGCAATGGTATTCCCCGTAGTAACCTATGGATATGAGAGCTGGACCATAAGGAAGGCTGAGCGAAGGAGGATAGACACTTTTGAACTATGGCATTGGAGGAAAATTCTGAGAGTGCCTTGGACTGCAAGACAATCAAACCAGTCCATACTCCAGGAAATAAAGGCCGACTGTTCACTGGAGGGAAGGATAGTAGAGGCAAAGATGAAGTACTTTGGCCACATAATGAGAGGACAGGAAGATAAGGGAAATGGAAGGAAAAAGGACGAGGGGCCGAGCAAGATGGGTGGGTGTTATCTTTGAAGTGACTGGCTTGACCCTGAAGGAGCTGGGGGTGGCGACGGCATGGGCTGATCCATGAGGTCACAAAGAGTCGGAAGTGACAGAACAAATAAACAAAGTTTTAGATTACTTGTTATAAAACAACATCACATATTTTATATGTAAACTCATAGGATATTTTCTTTAAATGTAGTTAATTTAAAACATGCAATGTCATAGCTAAATGTAGACAAATGTGTGTGTAGTTAAATATTCTACTATTCTTACTATTCACATTCTTAATGACAATCCTGTCTTTGTGTACCATAGGGTCCTTCTGCAAAGCCTAACATAATTGTAGCAGGAGCTGCTACGGTAAGTTGTTTTCGTTGTAGTCACTGTTGAGGTGAGGACAGTAAAATACTAAGTCACCTTGTCTTTCAAATTCCAAACCATCCTCTGTTTTTTTTTCTACCAGTTTGCCTTAACTTCGTTATTTTGAGCATCGAACAATGTATCTACACTGTAGATAGATTTAATGCAGTTTGAGACTACTTTAAGTGCAATGGGTCAATGCTATGGAATCCTGAGAGTTGTAGTTTTACAAAGTCTATCTTCAAAAACGTGTTGGTGCCTCACTGCACTATCAATCCCAGGATTCCATAGCACTGGGTCATGACAGTAAAATTGGTGTCAGACTGCATTAATTCTACAGTTAGATACACACAGAGAGAGCTAATGAGTTATTCACCATTACCACACACACACACACACATGTCAGGACCCAGTTTCCAGGGCCTTGATTTTGGCACCAGGAACCAGGGTTCTGACGTAAGACACTGATAAAACACCTGTGGTGGCTGACCCTGAAAGCAAACGGCCAACGGTTTGGGCGGGTGCTTTACGCGGGTTTTTGTGCTTGGCGGAAGTTACATCTTTGAATGAGAGGGAGGGTATATAAGGAGGTGCTGACGCCGGGCAATCTCGGCTTTTTGAATGTCTGTGTTTCCAGCAGTAAAGCTTCTCTTTGATACCAGAGCGTGGTCCTGTGTTTTCATTGGGAGCAGCTGCTGTGAGCTGACACACACACACACACACACATAACTTTTCTTCTTCTTTTCTGCACTACTGCTGATCCTAGAACAAGATTTAATGAATGAGTGTAGATGCCTTTGGCGTAGGACATCATTGTTTCCTGATAGAATTGTAATGTCTAGAATGTATCTGTAGAGAGACGCAAAGTGATGTGCTAGATTTACAATTTAATATTTCAACAAAGCTGAAAAAGAAAGTAAATACTGTTTCAAGTACTTTTATAATATTTTGTGTCAGATTTGATAATATTTTAAATATTTGATGAAACACTAGTCAATAAACTGTAGTATTGTATATTATCCTACACCACTTCTTCCAGTACTTAATGATTTATCTACATGCTATCTTCTTCTGCTGCTCTTTTGAGTTTTTTGAGTTTATATGATTTATTGTTCAATCAGTAGTTTAACCAGTCGTCTAAAACGGAAATTAGGATTTGTTTATAAATAATTAACCATTTTGATTATGTTGGCTACACGTAAAAATGCTGATGTTTCCCTTCTGACATTTTTTTTATAGTGGTCAATCAAAATTCACAATGGCAGCAACGAAGCACTGACACAGTATAAAATCAATATCACATCCATTGCACCTCTTCTGGAAAATCTGGCAAGGAGCAGCAATGTTTACTGGGTCTTACAAGGTAAAATAATGTATAAGGCAATGTTTTGTGATGCAACATGTGGATAAATTAATTAGTTGAGGATATATGTCATGCCAGCTTCCCCCCCCCTCAAATACATTCCAGGAACAGCTGTGGAGATTAGAGCCTTGACTTGTTTCTGAAAGTCACTGATTTCCACTCCAATTCTCACTTTGTGGGAAAAATACCCTCATTAATAAGAGAGGAATTTTCTTTCCTGTGATAATACGAATAAATACTGCACCAAAGATGTTCCACATCCTTGGAAGAAGATTGACTGGGTAGGCTGCAACATATCACATGCCTGGAAATTAGCCTGGACTTTTTTGTTATCAGTGGATCTACTCATGAGAAAACATAACATGTTTCTGCAGGGTTGGGAGTGCTTGCTTTATTATTAGATCTACTAGATTGAATGGATAGCTTATCTGTCCATGGGTGCATCTACACATTAGAAAAAATGCAGTTTTTGACTCCTTTAACTACCATGGTTCAGCATTATGGAAATTGTCATTTTATAAGGCCTTACCCTTTTCTTTCAAAGACAGCAAAGGCCTCTAAAAACTACTGCTCCCAGGATTCCATAGCATTGAACCATGGCAGTTCCAAGTGGTGTCAAACTCCATTCATTCATACTACAGTGACACTAGCCGCCTTTAATTTGGAATGGTTGTACCAGGCTTACTCCAGTCTGTCACTTTTATAGATGATATCCTTAGAGACTGTTTCGCTTTTTAAAAATACTGATATTCTATTCAATTCAGATCCAGTTTATGAAGATATGCTGAGTGAAAGCAGGAAAATGATCACTAATGAGAAAATAGATGCCTACAACGAAGCAGCAATCAGTATATTGAACAGCAGCTTCAGAAATTCAAAAACAAAAGTAAAAGTTTTTAGTGCACCAAGACTGATAGCAGAAGAAACCATAATGCAGTCCTCAGATGGCTTACATCTTCCCGAGTCAAGTAGAGAAACAGTGAGTAATCTTCATGAACATCGTCTTCAGAATTAATAATACTCAGTTGGAAATGTAAAACTTAATACAGGCCAGTTCAATGAGCATTGTTTTTTCTTTTTAAGTGTTATCAAGCTTTTCTGGAAACCCATCCTTCTTTTTTAGGCTACATTTTGGAAAGAAAAATCCATGATAAAGCTATCTTGCACTTCTTCTTTGTAGATTCTGTGATCCCTTCTACACTGCCATATAATCCAGATTATCTACTTTGAATTGGATTATATGAATCTACACTGCCAGTGTAGAAGGGGCTGTGACTCACACGAAGATTTGACTACACAGTGCGTTATTTAAAATCTTCTAGATGTTTCCATAATAAACATTTTGGCAGTAACTCTGCTCACTCCCAGGCACCATATCAGTGATCTTCCAATCCAAACCCTCAGTTCCTCCATTCTTTTTTGTCTCTTAAAAACACTTTAGAGTGCTCTTCAGTTTACAGTTAGGATTGCTGATAAATAGAATTGGACAGCCTTTCTTTTGACTTTCTCTCTCTCTCTCTGTCTCTCTCTCTTTCTTTGTATTGGTCTGTTTACCTTTGAACATGTTGTGGGTGCTCATAAAATTACTGGCTCAAATTACTGTTCTATCTCAGGAAAACACACGCAGTCATTGACAGGCCATTTAACCACAAGCCTGAAGGAATAGAGAAGCGAAGTTCATAAAAGTCCTTTATGAACATGTAGTGCAGCTACTCAGGCAGTCAGGGGGAAACCTCATCAGTTGGCTTTGTCCTGAACATCAGTGTCTTGTCCTCTGCTCCACCTCAAGCTTCTTTGCTTCCAGCATCTGTCTGATGGGCTGTTAGACGATCTCTGAAACTGAGTAGTATTCCTGTGAAGAAGAATTTACCTGTTTGTACAGTATCTTTCCAAGTGGCTTGCAACCACTATTCACTTAGTATATGGACTGGCAGGCAAACAGCTTCCTCCTCAAGTGAGAAGGCACTCAAATAGAATGACGGCCTTTCTGAGGAGGGGTTATTTTAATAAAATCTGGAGAGCCGCTACCTGGTCTAGGCTAGAGTTCCCAGATAGAGACTGCATTCAGGAGGGCTGTGTCCTTTTTTGTGTGGGACAGGACTTTTTCCTCCTATGATTGTTAGCTTATGTGAATCACAGAGATTGGTTACATACCTATGTACTGTGTGTGTAAATTTTAATGTATTGTTGTAGGTTTTCATGGCCAGAATCACTGGGTTGTTGTGTGTTTTCCGGGCTGTATGGCCATGTTCCAGAAGCATTCTCTCCTGATGTTTTTCCTGTATCTACGGTAGGCATCCTCAGAGGTTGTGAGTTTTCTTTGAGCAATCATCTTTGAACTCACTGGACCCTCTCCTTGTCGTATCCTCATTCCTACCGCCTCCTCAGATGCTGCTGCTTTAGTGTCCATGAAACTGAGGATTTAGGTGTGAAGTTCACTGGTGTAGCATGTGAGGAGTGGGCAAGACTATTGCCAAACACTTACATAAGGACTCTAGAATGTTCCGTATGATTCATTGCCCACATAAAAGTGACCTTTGTGCAAGTTCAGATAGCCACTGTTATTGATAAGCAACCTGTCCTTCATTGTAATTCTAGTGAAATGCCAGGAAAAATTCAATTACTGAATCTATGCAGGAAAAGCACAATTAAAAAAGAGGGAAGTGGGGTTTTGGAAGCAAGAAAGGTGAGGAGAAAGAGCCATTGGTGACAAGGGGGCCGAGGGAAAAGTGTATTGTCAGGAAGGGAACGGGGGAAAGGCTTTTGTCTGTGAGGGGACTGAAGGAAAAAGGCTTTTTGTGCCAAGGGAGGTGGGGCGGAGGAGGAGGAGTAGAAAAGAGGGGAGAAAATTCTGAAGAGGGGGAGAAAGTTCTGAAGGGGAGTAGAAAGGGGCAGGATGCTTCACGGAGCCCCACACTTTGAGAACCGCTGGTTTAAGAGATCACTGAGTTGAGCGTCCATAATTCCACTCATTGACCTCTTAACTTTCAAAATCTTGCACAATCTAAAATGAATAGATTGTGCAAGATCTGATCATGGATATTTCAACAGAACATCTGGTTTAGTGCTAGAAGGTCAGAATTAAGAGAACTTGGGCATCAAGACAGACTAATTTCTCTCTTCTAAATTAAGATATTAGGAGATTGGTAATTAATACTTGGGTGATTTAACAGTTCCGTTTTGTTTTTCGAAAAGAAGAAAGAGAGAAACCAGGAAACAATGGGGGATCACTTCATAATTTTTCGAAAATCTTTAGTTCAGCTGTAAAATGAGCAAGATTTATGTCATACCCTTTTTAGTTTATTTTTTTAAAAGGAAAACTACAGAGAATGGTTTGTTGAGTGTGTTTTTAAAGAAGAAATCAAAGTGAAACTCCTCATTCATTTCCTTAAATCAGAAGGAATATCCAAGTACAAAATCTCACTGATCAGAATTACATTTTTCCTCAGAGTGCCATGATTCTCGTAAACATCCACTGCAACAACGTTACAAAGCCAATTGATGGTTCATGCTGCCAACCTCGGCCTCCCCTCACCTGGATACAAAAGCTAGCTTTCTGCTTTTTTGCATCATCTGTAATTGGATATTTAATTCTGGTTCTGATTCGTCGTAACAATCACCGGAAGAACAAGCCATGCACTGATATGGAAAGCGGAGAGGAGAAAAAGACCACTACGAATAGCTCGGCTGTTTCTACCCTAGAGACACTTTTGCAATGCTTATGCAAACTTGGTTTTATTATGAGTTACTTCTACCTGTGTGACAGAGCCAATCTGTTCATGAAAGAAAACAAATTTTACACGCATTCATCCTTCTTCATACCAATCATTTACATTCTGGTTTTAGGAATATTTTATGCTGAAAATACAAAAGAGGTAAGCCAGTTTACTTTTGAGCTTTTGTTTCTTAATTTAGTAATCCCAAATCGGTCTCCTGATATGGTAAGTCGGTGTAACCAGGATGGCGGTCCCTCCGAATTGAAAGTGGTGCTGTTGAACGCCAGATCTGTCAACGGTAAAACAACTTTCATCCAGGATTTAATCCTGGACGAACGGGCAGATCTGGCGTGCATCACAGAGACCTGGTTGGACGAAGCGGGAGGTGTAAACTTAACCCAGCTTTCTCTGGTTTCTCTGCACAGAGAAACCACCAGGTTTCTCTGTGCAGCACCAACCGAGATCCGGAGGGCGGGGAGGCGGAGTTGCAGTGGTCTATAGAGATTCCATTCTTCTGACCAGGGCCCCCATCCCGCAGTCAACAAATTTTGAATGCGTCCACCTGAGGGTGGGTGACCGGGACAGATTAGGGATTCTGTTAGTGTACCGTCCACCTCGCTGCACTACAGACTCCCTGACTGAGCTAGCGGGGGTGGTCTCGGACCTGGCGTTGGAGTCCCAATGGCTGCTTGTGCTGGGGGACTTCAATGTCCACGCCGAGACCGCCTTATCGGGAGCGGCTCAGGACTTCATGTCTACCATGGCAACCATGGGGCTGTCCCAACAGGTATCTGGCCCCACCCACAGTGCTGGACACACATTGGACTTGGTTTTCTGCCAGGGATGGGAGGAAGGTGGCGGTGTTGAGGAGTTGTCCATCTCTCCGTTGCCATGGACCGACCACCACCTGGTCAGCTTTAGACTCACTGCACCCCCTAACCTCTGCAGAGGTGGAGGACCCATTAAGTTGGTCCACCCCAGGAGGCTTATGGATCCGGATGGATTCCTGACGGCTCTTGGGGAATTTCCCGCCACCTCGGTTGGTGATCCTGTTGATGCCCTGGTCGCTCTCTGGAATGGGGAGATGACTAGGGCAATAGACACGATCGCTCCAGAACATCCCCTCTCAAGTAGCCGAGCTAAACCAGCTCCTTGGTTTACTGAGGAGCTGGCAGCGTTGAAGCGAAAGAAGAGGGAACTAGAGAGCGTGTGGCGTTCGGATCCGAGCGAGCCAAATCGAACACGGTTTGTGTCCTTTCTAAGGGCATACGCCGCGGCAATAAAAGCCGCAAAGAAGACTTTCTTTGCGGCCACTATTGCGTCTGCAAAGAACCGTCCGGCAGAACTGTTCCGAGTTGTCAGAGGCCTATTAAAACCGCCACTCAGGATGGGTGCCCTGATGACTCGGCAGCTCGCTGCGAAGCTTTTGCTCAGTTCTTTGCAGACAAAGTCGCTTTGATCCGCTCTGGACTGGATACCATATTAACGGCAGTATCTGAGGATGTAACACGAGCATCTGCTTGTCCGGTTTTGATGGATTCATTTCAATTGGTTCAATCCGAGGATGTGGACAAGGTGCTTGGAGGAATGAGAGCTACCACATGCATCCTAGACCCCTGCCTATCCTGGCTTCTAAAGGAGGCCAGAGGGGGATTGGCCGAGTGGGTGAAGGTGGTGGTTAATGCCTCCCTTCGGGAGGGCAAAATTCCAGCCAGCTTAAAGCAAGCTGTGATAAAACCGCTGTTGAAGAAACCATCACTGGACCCCACTCAATTCGTCAACTATCGGCCTGTTTCCAATCTCCCCTTTTTGGGCAAAGTCATGGGACGTGTGGTGGCCTCACAACTCCAGGCATTCTTGGTAGACACGGATTATCTGGATCCGGCACAGTCTGGCTTTAGGCCGGGGCATGGTACCGAGACAGCCTTGGTCGCCTTAGTGGATGATCTGCGCCGGGAGCTCGACAGGGGGAGTGTGTCCCTGTTGGTGCTGCTGGACCTCTCAGCGGCCTTCGATACCGTCGACCACGGTATCCTTCTGGGACGCCTCGCGGGGATGGGTCTTGGAGGTACTGTTCTGCAGTGGCTCCGCTCATTCCTCGAGGGTCGGTCTCAGAAGGTGTTACTGGGAGACTCCTGTTCAACCCCACAACCTTTGTCTTGTGGGGTTCCTCAGGGTTCAATACTGTCTCCCATGTTGTTTAACATCTACATGAAGCCGCTGGGCGAGATCATCCGGAGTTTCGGAGTGCGATGTCATCTGTACGCAGATGATGTCCAACTCTGTCACTCCTTTCCACCTGCTACTAAGGAGGCTGTCGAGGTCCTGAACCGGTGCTTGGCCGCTGTGACGGTCTGGATGGGGGCGAACAAATTGAAATTGAATCCAGACAAGACAGAGGTACTCCTGGTTAGTCGCAAGGCCGAACAGGGTATAGGGTTACAGCCTGTGTTAGACGGGGTCGCACTCCCCCTGAAGACGCAGGTTCGCAGTTTGGGGGTGATCCTGGACTCATCGCTGAGCCTGGAACCCCAGGTTTCGGCGGTGACCAGGGGAGCTTTCGCACAGTTAAAACTTGTGCGCCAACTGCGACCGTACCTTGGGAAGTCTGACTTAGCCACGGTAGTCCACGCTCTGGTTACATCCCGCCTTGACTACTGCAACGCTCTCTACGTGGGGTTGCCTTTGAAGACAGCCCGGAAGCTCCAATTAGTCCAACGGGCGGCAGCCATGATACTAACAGGAGCGGGGCGCAGGGAGCATACAACTCCTCTGCTGCACCAGCTCCACTGGCTGCCGATCTGCTACCGGGCTCAATTCAAAGTGCTGGCGTTGGCCTTTAAAGCCCTAAACGGTTCTGGCCCAACTTACCTATCCGAACGTATCTCAGCCTATCAGCCCACCAGGACCCTAAGATCTTCTGGAGAGGCCCTGCTCTCTATCCCGCCGGCTTCACAAGTGCGGCTGGCGGGAACGAGAGACAGGGCCTTTTCTGTGGTGGCCCCTCGGCTTTGGAACACCCTCCCTATAGAGGTACGATCAGCCTCCTCGCTGATGGTGTTTCGGAAGAGATTGAAAACATGGTTGTTTAAACAAGCATTCGGTTAATCCGTTGCAATCGAATCTTGATGACTAAAGGACTGGTAATCATGGACGACGAATTTTGGATTGTGATTTTAGTTACGAGATGCATGGGATTATTATTGGTGGCCCAATAATTTGTATTGTATATGTGTTTTATGTTTTAAATTGAATACTGTTTTTTAATTGTTGTAAACCGCAATGAGTCGCCGACTTAGGCTGAGATATTAGCGGTATACAAGCGTATAAATAAAATAAATAATAAATAAATAATTTAAAGTCATAATTGAACAGAATATGAATACACAAACATTAAAATGTTTTTTCTGTCTTTGCTGTTGTTTATAGATACTGTAACATTCTTTATGCACAATGACCCAAGAAGAATTTTATGCACCTTTTCTTGGGAATAAGCCCCAATTGTTCTTGCTTCAGAGTAAACATGCTGGAGATTACACTGTAAACAAAAGCATATACGGTAGTGCATTTAAGATAGGGGAGTTGTGGTAGTTGTTGTCTACAGCATTTATTCATTTGGTGGTTCTGAGAGGCACCCAGGTGCATGGGTCTACACTTCTCTCCCCCCACCCTGAATGGTAACTTTTCATTTTCCACCTGAAACTAATTTTTTCTTTCAAAAACAGTGTTTTTGATGCTATAATCAGGTGGAAATTTCACAGTACTCACTATTTAGTCCTCTGTGCAGGTTACAGCTTACAAAAACTTTTTTGGCCGGTGTAGTATAGAAAAAAAAACTGATCAAATTCTAGAGGAACCCCTATCTAGTATTTCCAAATATTTAAACTTTCCTCACACATTAGTTTGCTTTACTTTCATTGCTTCGTAAGTGGCTTCTTGTTTTTGTAGAAATATCCATGTTCTCATTTTATTTTGTACAGACCAAGGTGTTAAATAGGGAGCAGACCGATGAGTGGAAAGGGTGGATGCAGCTTGTCATTTTGATTTACCATATCTCTGGAGCAAGCACTGTAAGTGTCTTTCACTGTTTTAAAAAATGTTTTCTGCCCAAAGCGCCCAGGCCTACGTACCTCGGCCTGGCAGGGCCTGAAGCTGAGTGCAGAGTAAGGAGTGCTCCTTACTTGGCGCTTGACTGCAGGCCCTGCAAAGCCCGGGCGCATAAGCCCAAAGCCTACACCCATAGGTCCAAAGCGCTGGGGTGCCTGCAGCTGAGTAAGAAGCGCTCCTTACTCGGCGCTCAGCTGCAGGCCCTGCCAGGCCCCGGTAGTTTGAGCCTATGCACAGCAATCAGTCCAAAAAGTAAGCTTGGAGCCGGTTCCCACTCCCAAGTGCCTTTCATTTTGAGTCCATTTTCATTCCAGGTAGGGCCTTCCCGTTTTGTCACGAATCAAACGGATGGGACAAATTTTGGGCCTATGACTAGTAGACTCTGGGCAGTCTTCCTCTTTTCCTATTGACTTATATCTTGACAAGCATTATTATCTTTTCTAGAAAATTAAGCCTTATTAAATTAAGGTTTGTAAATTCGAGGGGGCTCATTGGGAAAGCAGGCATGGAGCCACTGTTGATTGAGCTACCCAACCTCACATAAGTGAATATACGATTTCAGTATTATCTCAAACAGATTCAGTGCCTCCACTAAGAATGTCTTGACTGGATTGGACTGTGAGAGAATTTTTTCTCCCCTCCCTCTTTTCTTTACTATTCTTATCTAAATTATAGAAGTCTTCTTTTTAATTGCAGTTAAATTACTAGTAGAAGATAGATATATCAGTTCTGTTCCTAATCCTAAGCTATACCTTGCGCAAGTCTTTTTCTTAGTGGTGGGACAGATGGTTGGTCAATCGCTTGCATATTGTGAATAGTTTAAGTAGAGAGGGTCATGAAGTTTTGTTGTTTGCTATCAAGTCAACTTTGACTTATGGTGATCCAATGAATGAGAGGCTTCCAAAAGTACTGGTGAATTTCAAAGTCCTAGTAATGTGATTGTTTTAAGAAATAGAATATTTGGGAAGCAAGTTATTATTATTGTATTTATGTGTACCCAGCTTCATCTTCCCAAGGTGGGGGGGGGGGACTAAAAGCGGCTTGACATAAAAACATTAGCATACAATTTAAAATATAGAAATATGCAACGATTAAAACAGAATTAAACACAAACAGCACTAAAAAAAATCACAGTTAAAATCCATCACAACATGTTCAGAGTTAAAAACCACAGCACTCTCTGACTAAATCTTAAACACCTTCATCTTTTAAAGCCTGTCTGAATAGAAAGGGTTTAGCCTGCTTTCGGAAGGATAGCAGGGAGAGGGCCATTCTTGCTTCCCTGGGCAAAGAGTTCCAGAGTCGTGGGGTTTAGGCTTTCCCCTCTTACCATCAAGTTTGATTTGAGTATTTGAGACTTAATGAGCTTAAGTCTTTATGACGTAATTTTTAAAAAAGCAATTTACATTTTTATCCATAGTTTCTGCCAGTCTACATGCACATCCGTGTGTTGGTTGCTGCATATCTCTTCCAAACAGGCTATGGGCATTTCTCATACTTCTGGATTAAAGGAGATTTTGGCATCTACAGAGTGTGTCAGGTAAGAAGTAAATAAATCTCTATATAATCAGGACTGAATGCTAACTGACATCTGCCATCACTGCATGCAATCTATGTTGAGTCATCACCTTTTCAGTTTTAGGAGGCAAGTTTCATAATAGATTTTTAGCAGTGAGCAGGCATGGGCTGTTAGGAATTGTGTGAGTTGGAGTCAAAAACACCTAGAGGGCAAAAGTTTGTCCATGCCTGCTCTATTGTCTGGCTGCTTCTTTATTCTAACTGATTTCTGTCGTGTTCTGAACTCAGACCTCTACGAAGAGCTTTCATTCTGTCTTGTTGGGTCTCCTTTAGATACCTTAATACCCAGAACATGAGATTTTCCCTTCTAATTCCAAAGAGGCAAATATTCCCTTACTGAACACATAAGTGTTGAGCAACCCTGTGTAGAACTAAATGGGCAAATAAACAAAGACTTGAGTAGACTTTAGCTTCAAGGTCTTGTTGCTGAAAACTAAACCTTAGAAGAGGCATTTCATCTTTTTTGGAATAGTGGTGGGAAGCATACAAAATCATGGGTTTTAAGTTTTTGTGGAACAATTTAATCCATAAAATTGTTAGCCCTCCTTACTGTTCCAAAAAAAATATATCAAAATATAAATACTCTTGGGTTCTTTGTCAGTTCAATTCAGATGGAATTATAAGACTGTTTAAATTGTTTTACATTGAAATGTGATTTAAAATATTCTCTTCTTCATGATTAATGAAGAAATATTTCTCTTCTTGTCCAATGCTTAACAGGTTTTATTTCGACTGAACTTCCTGGTTGTGGTGTTGTGCATAGTGATGGATCGGTCTTACCAGTCCTATTACTTTGTACCTCTAGTCTCTGTCTGGTTTTTGATTATATATATAACATTAGCTCTATGGCCTCCAATAGTCCAGAAGAAAGCCAATGGTAAGAATGAATTCCTTTTGCTGAAAAATAATTGCTAATTATAATCGTTGTATCCTTTATTTCATTGCATTAAATGTTATATTTACCTTTCTAATTGTGATTTATTGCACATAGAATTTGTTGTTGCTGTTGTTTTTGTTGTTGTTGCTGTTATGTACCTTCAAGTCATTTCTGAATTATGGTGACAAATCCATTACAGGGGTTTTGGGGCTGAGAGTGTGTGACTTACCCACAGATCACTCAATCGGTTTTTGTAACCGAGCAAGGATTTGAACCCTGGTCTCCAGAGCAATAGTCTTAACACAAAACACCATGCTGTACTTGTATTCTATACATAGTAATATAACCATTTTGCTGTGAAATAATAACAATGAGAAGGCAGGAGAGGACAATCTGTTTACCCAAATCATAACCTAAGAAATTTAGTACACAGTGAATGAAATATAGGTTTCCAAGACTAAAATAGCTATTTTTCGAGTGGGAAAGGAACCAGAGTGTGCAGGGCTATCTCGTGTTCTTTAATTCTTCATCTTTTCTCAGACACTGTTTCCCATATTTATTACTGGTTTAGTTTTTAGTGAATTAGTCTTACTTGAGAGTACTTCTGCACTGTAAATTGGAGATCACTAGAGAAAATGAGGCTGTTACGAAGTTACATAGTTAACCAGATTTGGGTATATAATACCAGTTAGGGGTTGAACTAGATGGCCCTCGTTGACTCTTCCATCTCTGTGGTTCTAAATAAAACTATTATTGAGGATGGAATAGGAGGGGGAAAGTAATACCTTCCAATTGCTGCCTCTTTTCTGTGCAGGGCTGTCAAGTGAAACTTCAGTCTTGTTCTGGAATGGAATGTGGATGGGGCACTGTATATGAATGATTATCCCGTTGAAGTAATTGTATTGCTGGTGTTAAACCAACAGTGAATGTGGCCTTATTTTGAGGAGATGCATATTCTGTTACTTGTACACCTGAATGAGGATTGTCTCCACATTTCTCTTCCCCCACCCCCATCTCCCAAATTACTATCTTCTTGCTAAAATCCCTGGAAAGGAAGATGGTGTTTTCTCGAGTTGGGGATGTTCACCAAATGCACTTCATGTTTGGTTCAATTCAAATTTTAAAGATACTGGTTTGGTACACTCTTATATCAGCGGATAGCTTATAGAAATAATAACAAAACCTCAATTCTATTTTTTTTCCCCCCACAGGCAGTTGTTTCTGGCACTTTGGTTTACTGCTGAAATTTGTTTTCCTGTTCATCTGTATATATTTTATAGCCTATTCTCAGGTTTGTATTTTACCTTTTATACTGTATTGTGGAATAGAAACTGACTGATGGAATGCAAATAGTCTAAATTTTGCTTGATATTTAGAAATCAAACCTTCTTAAACAGTAAGAAAGAGCACTTGTAGTTCTAATGGGGCAGACATGGTAAATGTTATGTGCTCCTGTAAGGAATAGGCTGTTATCTGTTTCAAACAACTCACAGGCTTTTAGCTCTATGGCAAATCCATTAACTGTGTCCCTCGAAATGGGTGTTGGAATGCATGAGTTCATCCAGAGGACTGAGGGTGGAGCAGCTACTTTCACAAAGTACATCAGCCTTACATCTAAAACTTGACTGTTTTGTCTTGAATAGAGGGCATTGTTTCCTTGTTTGTTTATTTATTTATTTCTTCATCCTTGGTTGACCTGTCATGTAAATCCCAGGTACCACAACCTTTCTAGTGAAGGAAATACCTGCTGTTAAAACATTCCTTCTGTTGTATTTTGTTGTTGAATTTTTTAAAAAACAGAGTTTTTTTTAAATAAATCAAAACCAAATTACTTTTGCATTTTGAGGTCTGACCAGGAAGAAGTAATTAGAAACACAGAGCTCCAAAACGTTTGTATATCATCTTCAGGGAAAAAAATATAGCTATGTTTCTTTGTAGAGAAATATCCTGAGGCTTTTAGAATAGAAGCTGTGCCTCTAGCCTAATATTGCAGTGCTCAGAAAATATACTTTTGGAACTGCAACTTCCAAATTTCCCCATTTATCAAAGAGCTATATTTTAAACAAAATCCTCACAACTGAATTTGGGAATATATTTTGTATGTTTATACTACCCACTGTTTAGTCTATGGTGAGATTCATTTTTAATCTCCATTACAAATGGACTGTGTGCTTCATTTGTTCTCTCCCTATAGAGTGTTTATGGCCTCAGGTTCCACATTTAAATAACTTGTGAATAAGAGAATAGTTTTTTTCAGCTAGCTCTACAAAGCACTTAGAGATGTTGATTCGCTGATTCGGTATGGATTATTTTCCAGAATGCACTTTTCCCCATTTGAATACTTGCAGAAATTCCTACAGTTTTCTCTGGCAAGATTTACATTCAGTTCTTGTGGGTTTTTTCGGGCTATATGGCCATGTTCTTAAAGCTGATCAAAACCTTTGGTTTTAAGGGAGTTTTATAATGTATTGCAGAAGCCTTTGTTACTTTTGTTTGGCTCACACTGTTCAGATGCCTTTAAATAATAAGTTCAGCAATCACACTAGGATGGAAAAAAACATAGCTTTAGAGAGCCAGTGTGGGTGGGGGCGAAAAAGCTCTGTGGCAAAGCATACAACCTCTCAGTGATAACTTGTTTTAACTTTCATTCTTTTAGATTTCCTGGAATAACTTGTTGATATTTCTGTGAACATTTTTATATGGGTTTTTTTGTATCTCAGATGGGTTCTGCCCTTACTTAAAATCTCACCTAGAACATTCTAGGAGCGCTAGTATACACACCCAGAGCACAGGGTGTGGTTTCTGCCATTCTTGTTTCTTTATTCTTTGCTATAACAACTTGAGAGTATTCTCTGCCAGCTCATAACTCCAAAATACAAACATATGTACATACATTTTCAAAAAGGATTTCCTGCTTCCCCTTTGTTGATCTCTCTAACTTTTTTCTTTCACCTTATATCCAGGAAGTTTATTCCTGCTTGTTTTAACATACAAACGAATATCCCAACAATTTAGAGCTCCAATCCTATATGTAAAGTCTTTTCCTCTCCCTCAGATATGCAGATCTTTCAGCCCCGAAGTGTGGTGGAAGCTGCTTTCTTAGAAGCTTTTAAACAAAGACTAGATGGCCATTTGTCAAGGGTGCTTTGATTGTGCTTTTCCTGCATGACAGGGTTGGACTAGATGTCCCTTGTGGTCTCTTCCAATTCTATTCTATGATTTTATGAAAATCTTTGACAAGTACAAAAAGTGGACAGGAAAAAGAGGAAAATAAACAGATAATGAACAAAAAAAAATCAAATGTACCTTTTGTGGATATGTGTTCCAAAAGTTCAGTTTTCCAAAGTGCTCTATTTCTAGGAACAAACATCCATTTTATCCCTGTCTCTTATATTGCACGTGCCCTAGAAAATGGCATATTAAACATCCATTTTATCCCTGTCTCTTATGTTGCACGTGCCCTAGAAAATGGCATATTATAGATCCGATCCATAAATCCTTGTATACAGCATCAAAAGGATGACAAAATGTCTTCATCTCACAAATGTTATTGTAATGGGAAGGACAGTCATGAAAGAATTGGCTTTTTCAATCTGCGTATGCAAGCGATAATTTGTAAGTGGAAAAAAACTTCCTTTAATTCTTGGACATTTGGTTCTGGCTAATAATCCTATGAACCAAAACTGTCTGATGTAAGAAATGAAATACTCACTTTAGATGCTTGGTTTATGCAACCAGGATGTTAACACTATTTTCTCTTCATTTTTTGCAGGGTACATTTGAGAAGATTTTTTCTATTTGGCCATTGTCTAAGTGTTTTGAGTTAAATGGGAGCATCTATGAATGGTGGTTTAGGTGGAAATTGGATCGTTACGTACGTTAACATTATATTTAAATTTTCTTTGATTTTTGGCGAGTCTGTAACCTGTGTTTATCAGTAGTTTACAAATGAAAACAAATGACGATTTCAGTTTGCAATCAAAACAAAAAGCTGATGAAGAGCATAATTAATTATACCATAAAATAAAACAAAGCGTATGTTTTAGTCTCTTAAGCTTGAAAGAAACAGAAATTGCAAAATTGTGATCTGCCCTGTTTATTAGAGAATAACACACAATTAAACTGAAACAGTGCATTTTCTTATTAGGTTTTGGATTAGAAGAGATTCACTTTATTTCCTATCTTGTCATAGGAAACGGAAATTTCTTCTTAATGTCTCCTTCAGAGGGGGAAAGCGTTTCTTAAAATTGGGATATTTATGTGAACCGGCACAGTTATACATAAGTGCCATGTGTTAACTTTATTGTTAGATTCTTGCTAAATTCTGAAATTGAACAGTTTTTCCTCTTTCTCTTGCAGGTTGTTTTTCATGGAATGTTGTTTGCTTTTATTTATCTAACATTTCAGAAGCGGCAAGCCCTCACAGAAGGAAAGGGGGAGCCTCTCTTTCCCAACAAAGTTTCAAATACTTTATTATTTATTTCAGTAGTCTCTTTCTTGGTAAGTTTCCCAAAAGCACAGTTTAGCTCTCCTAGAGGCTTTATTAACTGTTTCATGATCAGTTGGGATGGGATAATGGTTATGAAAACAAGTTGCAAACTGTGTCTATTGGAAGACAAACAGCTCACCTTTAGAAATTCTGTTCAGAGTTATTTTGCCAGTTGTACTGAGATAAGGGTATGTTTATGGAAGCTCTGCAATGAATTTTCAGTTATTTCAGGGAAGAAAACTATCCCTTTGTCTGTAATCAGAAGTCAGTCCCATCTTATTATTCCCAGACAGTTTTGCACAGGATTACAGCCTAAGGATAAAATGTAAAGCCAACATTTTTATAATCCATTCATTTGAATGACTTAATTTGGAACTTCATTGAGCTCATATATGCTTTTTATATGTTTTAGACCTACTCTATCTGGGCAAGTAGCTGTAAAAACAAATCTGAGTGCAATGAAATGCATCCATCTGTTTCAGTTGTACAGGTAATTTATATTTCCTACTTTTTTGCAACTTACAGGCAGTTCCCGAGTTACAAACATCTGGCTTAACAAACAACTCATAGTTAAGAATGAGGATGAGACAATAGGAAGTGAGAGAAATCTATTCCTAGAAGGGAAAATTCACTCCTGAAAGAGTTATTTGGAGGGGGGGGGGTGTCTCCACTGAAGCTTTATCGCCAATCCTTGTTTCCACAACAAGCCAATTTTTTCAAAATCCCAATTCTTACAGGGACAGAAAGTGAAGTCAAATCTTCTAAACAGGTGCACAGGTGTATGTATGTGTGTTTATATGTATATAATTAGCTTTGGATAGCATAGGGAAGGTTAACATCTCTGTGAAGTTTGTTTTGCTATATATATATATGACTGAAGTTATACTTAAAAATGTACCTGTTCTGACTTGTATCCAAATTCAGCTTAAGAACAACCTACATAATCTATTCGTAACTTTGGGGCTGCCTGTACTTTAGATTTTCCACAGTAAATAGGATCTAACAGCCAGACCTCCAAAAGCAACTACTTTGGCCTTCATAAATCATGGCAGAACAAGATTTAGTAATTTGCTGCAATATGAAAGCTTTCCTGGACCATCATAGTACATACTATTGCATTGTATTGTGATGGTTTTCTGTGCCCCATGATAAGTCTACTCACTGAATACGTCTCAGGGGTGTAGGTAATGTATATGCGTGATAGAAAGAGTATAAATCTTTAGGGGATAAGAAAACCTTTTTCTCTTCCTACCCTTCAGCCATTCTTTCCAAACTCTCAGAAGCAGAGAACGATTGAATCTCAGTACAGAAACCTGAGGGGGAGGGAGAGCTAAAACCATTCGAGAAACAGGAAGAGCAGCTGGGTCCCAGGTAGCTGTGAGAAGCTTTCAACTCTCTCATCTCGTGATTCTAACCAAGATTGCTTTTTTCTGCCTACTGGTTGCAGCAGTAAAACTGCCATCTTGGTGAGGGTTACAAGAAGGTTGATTGAGGCTTTCAGTTCGGCTTTCTACACAGACACAGCTCCTTAGATGGTGGCAATGAATTGCAGAAAGTAAATGCCCTCATTTCAATGTACTGATCAGGAGGAGGAAGGTGTGATCGTACATTGAGATGTTAAGAGGGAAGTATGAGTTAGACTGTACACAAAATCATGTGAACCCCTAGTTTAAACTAAATGAAGTTTTATCCAGTTGAGATGTTACATCAGACTGCCATTATATTGGACCAGGCAGAGGATTCTTAAAATCTCCTTCCAGACATGCAGGAGGGTGACAGATGTGAGCCCAATATGATATTGTTCATAAGGCATTAACTTATGATCTAATGTTATCTCTGAATTGAGCATTTTCTCATGGTGCTCCAGAGTATCCACAAATTGTGTGGGTTATTTCCCTTGTGCCAGCTTTAGTTAGTGCTTTTGTGGATTTCCCCTCTACATATCCAGGAATGACTGAGCAGAATGAATACCAGCTCTTCAATTAGCTGCTAATTATGTAATAGGCAAGGTTTGGGATTTTTTAAGTAAGAGAGCCTATATGCGACTGGGTCTTCACTGGATTTGGAACTTTTACAGCAAATATAAGCAAATAAAAAGTTCACAAGCAGACAATACCTTGTTTGTTTCTTTGTACAAACCAGGAGCCTGTGTGTCCCATCTAAGGTAAAAGGGAGATCTTTGAAACACGGCCCCGTATATTGTTCAGAAATTTCTTCTCTATCCCAGTATATTGTGCTGATACCTTCACATCTAGTAGCTATCAATTCAATCTCCATTTTCATGGGCTTCTCAGCTTCTGTTTACAGCCATTGCTCTATTATTATTATTTTATCGGCACTGGCCTTATGGAGAGTTCTGGCGAACGTAAAAACTTGCACGCTTCTTTTTAATTTTGATCTTTGGATTTTGGTTATATTCATAGGTCTTATAGGTGATTTGCTTTGCCATATTATAGTAGTTGTGTTGCTCATTATTTATTTCAGAACATGGTTTCCAAGAACTTTGGGTTCTCTGCCATCTAGTATGAAAAGTAATAGCTTTGACATTCCAGTGGATGGATAGAGATATATTTTATATATGAAAGATTTTTTTTTAAATGACCTGGTTTTGTCTTTCAGATTTTAGCTTTCATTCTTATCAGGAATATACCTGGCTACGCCCGTTCTTTGTACAGTTCATTTTTTGCCTGGTTTGGCAGAATTTCCCTTGAGGCAAGTAGCACAGTTTTGTTCCAAGTCTAAAGCACACCAGACCTAGTAAATGTATAATAAAATTCTGGCTGATTTGAGATCTGCTATTATGGTCCAATCTTGAACATTTTAAATTGCCATCGAAAAACGCTGCACGACAAAAATGAAGTATTGCCGTTTTATGAAATAAATTATGGTTACACCTTTTCCTCTGTCAGGCAGAAGAGGAACACTGTGATGGGTACCTATTAGCATGTATTCTCCTGAGTATTTCTTACATTGATGTTGCTCCTCGGGCTTATTTGCTAGTGGCAGTAGTAGCGATCTAGGGAGCTGCCACCAGATTCCCTTAATCCTCCAAAATGTATGATGTAATATTACTCCAGTACTTTGTGATAAATCAATATGGAAGCCTCCATATACATGCAAGTTATAATGACTGTCCTTAGAATGGAAGAAATATTTATACTTCACCCATGAAGTAAACGAAGGGAAGTCCTTTGCTACCCAGGAGAATATTACGCTTTCACACTACTGTAACATGATTCATGGATAAAATAAATATATGTTTGTTGAAGGCTTTCATGGCCAGAATCACTGGGCTGCTGTGAGTTTTCCAGGCTGTCTGCCATGTTCCAGAAGCATTCTCTCCTGATGTTTCGCCCACATCTATGGCAGCCATCCTCAGAGGTTGTGAGGTATATTGGAAACTAGAAAAGGGAGGTTTATATTTCTGTAGAAGGTCCAGCGTGGGAGAAAGAACTCTTGTCTGTTGGAGGCAAGTGTGAATGTTGCAATCAATCACCTTGATTAGCATTGCAAAGCCTTGCAACTTCAAGGCCTGGCTGATTCCAGCCTGGGGGAATCCTTTGTTGGGAAGTATTATCTGGCCCTGATTGTTTCTTGTCTGGAATTCCCCCTTTTCAGAGTGTTCTTCTTTATTTACTGTTCTGATTTTAGAGGGTTTTTTTGTTCATTTTCATGGTTTCCTCCTTTCTGTTGAAATTGTTCACATGCTTGTGAATTTCAGTGGCTTCTCTGTGTAGTCTGATGTGGTGATTGTTAGAGTGGTCCAGCATTTCTGTATTCTAAAATAATATGCTGTGTCCAGGTTGATTCATCAAGTGCTCTGCTATGGCTGACTTCTCTGGTTGAATTAGTCTGCAGTGTGAAACGTCAGGAGAGAATGCTTCTGGAACATGGCCATACAGCCTTAAGAACTCACAGCAATAAAATGTATAATTTTTGGAGAGGGCTACAGATTAATAGTGGTCACTGTGGACCCAGTTATTTTAGCCTAACTCTTCTTTGTTTTCTTTTTTCCCCCCAGCTTTTTATCTGCCAGTACCACATCTGGCTAGCAGCAGATACCAAGGGGATTTTGGTCCTCATTCCAGGAAACCCCATGCTCAACATTATTGTCAGCACTTTTATATTCGTCTGTGTGGCACATGAAATTTCTCAGATCACAAATGATCTTGCACAGATTGTTATTCCAAAAGACAATGTGATTCTACTGAAAAGGTTGCTGTGTGTAGGTTTCTTTTTTGGTGGACTTCTCTTTTTATCATCCATTCAGAAACGGTCAACATAATTTCTCATATATCACTAGAGTGTCACCGTGGGCTTCCTTTGAGTTTGCCTGCACCAAAAAAACCAAAAACCTGAAATAAAATCAACTGGAATAACACAATCCTCCCACAACTTTTAGGTCTATGGACAACGCAAGAAAAAAGTCAAGCGAAGACTACTGATCATGGTAGAAATTTCACTACTTAGCATGGGGAAATCCACCCACTAAAGGAAAAAGAAACCGCATGTGGAAAAACATTTTTTTCTCCTGGAGTGATATTTCTGTTTACATATCTTTCTAAAAATAAAAGATTACCATTGCAGGTTTAGCTCTACAGAGACATTTAGAGCTGCTTGCATCAATTTTATCTGGAGGCATTATACGGTTGTTAAAAAGTACTGGCATAACTGCAGTGATTATATTTGTATTTTTAAATGCTTTTATTGCAACAAATAATCCAGCCCCCCAAATTTCCTTTAAAGCAGTTTAAATCAGTTTACTTACAAAAATTCATTTACTTGTCAGCACTCCACCCATACAAAATGGCTTAATGTCTACAGTTTGTTTTTAAATGCTTCAGCATTGATGTGTGCTCAGATTTTTCCTGTACTAACCGGAGAATTTTTGAAGTATAGCAACATGTTTTACTGGTTAATGTGTATTAGTTAAAATAACTAATACATGTCTAGGACACCATTCAAGTACTAAGGGGGAAACCAATCTTTTTATCAGAAGCATAGGGCAAATTCTAGTTGTTAGTCCCAGGCTACAGTAGATATCTTAAGGGAGCTCCCCATGAGTGTAGTAGACATACCTTATACCCATACAGTGAGTGGGCCTACTCTAGTTGGAACTAACATTTGGATTTAGTGCTCAACATCCATGTTTACAAGAAATAGCATAGCATTTCAGTAAATATCATTTTCAATGGTTTTGTGTGTGTGTGTGTTTCATAACTGACATGTTTGCATAGCCTTACTTTACTTTTCTTAAAAATCATGTGGGTTTTCGTCACTGTTTTCAGCATGTGCAATTATCTCTTTGGCTGGACTCCAGTGCTGTACTTCTGCTGGCTGCTGCTGTTTCTGCCAGGATCAGTTATTTCCCCTTAACCCCCATGTTGCCATCTATAGATCTGCTCTAGAGAGCTCAGAGGGCTTAATGGAGTAGGTTTCAGGGCACCATTAAGGGAAAGAAGGTTCTGATTCTGCTGGAGTTTGAGATGGAAGTACATACCTGGATCTTGTCCTATGTATCTTGCAATATTAGTGTCATATGTTCGTTGAAACTTCAGGCTCTTCAGCCATTCTCCTATGACTTCTCCCTTCTGTTTTCTGCATACCACTATAATTACATCCAAGGAGTGATGTAGCTAGACTATAATTAAACCCTTCCCCACTGATAACTTCATATAGCGTAGAGCATTTTATATCAAACTACATTGAAGAGGTCAGGTACCTAAAATTTGGGGCTATAACCATTGATTTTTTTTTCATTCAAAAGAAGGTTTCTTCTTTGATCTAGAAAATTCTTGAAATCTGTATTAGATTGCAGAAGAAAAGATTACAATTGACCGTCGCTCAAAAGATGGAACCCCTAAATTTCTACAAAATCAGTTTTTGTAAGGCCTGTAAATGGACTCCATATTTTTGGGTTTTTTAAAAAGTTTATTTGCTATAAGCCTACGAATACTGAGCTTTTCATCCTTGATTGAGCTTTTCCTTTTTTAAAAGTGGCTTTTAAATTCTGTATAGACATTTAGGATTATTTTCATTTCCATTCAGAGTCCATTCTTCCCTAACCACACTGTGTGTGTGTGTGAAAAATACTTAGCAGTTCAGACTAGCAAGTGTATAATTTAATTTCTTCACATGGTACGTTGTATTAAGAGTTGAATCTATATGGAGCATCCTATATTGAAATGTATGGATCTTGATTCCAAACAGTATATGGATGTCCAAATTTTGTGCATTTTTCTTTATAGAAGTTGGCACCGAAGAACCATCAGATTATTCTTTTAGCAGTACTAATTCATAATGCAGCTTGAGAACAAATGCAGTTTTATTTGTAGGAAAATATTTGGTTCTAGCACAGATGTTGGGAACCTTTGGCCCTCCAGATTTCCAATTCTGACAAGCACCATCTAGGATGGTAATTGGTAAGGGCCAGGGCTTATGGGGTTTGCAGTTCTAAATATCTGAATGCCTCAAAGATTCCCAACCCTCTTGTGTACAAGCTCCTGTCAGTCTTGGCCTTAAGAGACTTGTTCCTGTAATGCTTGTGTTTCAAATGATTTGAGCACTTGAAGAATGAATCAACAATCTTGCTTTCTGCGCATATGTGTATTAATGCCTTTCAATTTATAGGAAGTTGTTTTATCGTGTATCTCAATAAGTCAAAACTTTGGGATCCTGTCATGCAAGGACAAGGACAATTATGCAGGGGAAATTCCACTGAAGAATGATAGATCACATTTGCTTTCATTTAATGCTTGAGTTGAAACTTGTTCTTTCTATTACATTAACAAACAGCAATGTGTAAATTCTGTTTTCTTATTTGCCTGTTCATTTTCACTGGTGTCAAAAGTTGCCCTTTGCCACTAATAGAAGCATTTGATTTGTACGTTTCATTTCAGTTTAGCTGAGCACTCTGGTTATGGTTGGAAAGTCATGGGCCACATGTACAAATGACATCCATAACTTTACGGGGCAAAAAAAACTTTTGTGAAGCGTGGGTTTTTTGTTATGTTTATATATCAAGTATTGTAGATATTTTATTTATCTGTTGTACAGATTTGGTTAAGGATTGTTTTTTATGTTTGAAATATTGCACTTGTTTGCTATTATTACTGTATGTTGGATAAAGTCTATATTTTCTTTTAAACTTTATGTGAAAAATATGAAGTAATTTAAATAAATGTGCTGTGGGTGCTTTATTTTTGAACTGAAAAGAGCATCATTTAAACAAAAAATTCCTTTTTAAAAAATCCTGTAATGCTTGAAGTCATATGTACTCTGTCATCTGAGAGAATACTAAAAATGGGTTATGCAGAAGGTAGCACTGCATTTTGCAATCTCTTCCTGGCTGCCATAAAAATCAATTTTCATAAATAGCCTGTTTGCTTTCATGTACTGTATTTAGAATTCCTACATATCTCCAGATCCTCAAATTGCTTACTTCAGCTGAACAAATTCTGATGATATTAGGCTGTTTATTCCAGTTATTATCATCTATTGAAACAAAGAAGTAGTTTAGCCAGTAGGAAATATTTTAACAGTTAATTTAACAACTGCATCTGAACAATAAATTGCTTATAAAACTCATGTCACAAAAAGTTCCCTCTTATATTTTAAAAATTGACAGGAATACATACAGACACCTCATTGATCAAAATGATTCTCATTTGAGGTTTTGCACAATAAAATGTAAATGTTGACAGACTGAGGGCTTTTCAAAAATAAAAATGTAATCCTCGAAGGCTTTCACGGCCGGAATCACTGGGTAGCGGTGAGTTTTCCAAGCTGGATGGCCATGTTCCAGAAGCATTCCTTCCTGACGTTTCACCCACATCTATTGCAGGGATCCTCAGAGGTTGTGAAGTATATTGGTAACTAGACAAGGAAGGTTTATATCTAGCTTCCAATATACCTCACAATCTCTGAGGAAGCCTGCCATAGATGTGGACAAAACATCAGAAGAGAATGCTTCTAGAACATGGCCATACAGCCTGGAAAACTCACCGCAACCCAAAAATGTAGTCTTTGAAGGGGAATAAAAAATGCCACAGGTTATTTAATCAAGATTAAAAGCAAATTAAAAATCCAAAATTTCTACAAACTCATTAAGTTATTGCACTGTTGATACTAAGGAATAGAAGGCATTTGTAGAATTTTCTTTCTTAACTCACATAAGTGGGCACCAGGTACGGTTCATTTGTTTGCCGGTGCGGGCGGGGGGGGGGGGAAATACTGTTAGGGGAGTCCTGAAAGGATTAGTACAAAGATGAGTGCATCTATAGCAGGAATGCCTGTTCTGCTAGGGATCATTCAGCTATTACTTTGGAGTTAGCATTTATCACCTTTGTACAAGGTATTATAAAATCTAAGAAAGAATGGATAGATTAATGTTTATTTTAAATATTTTAATATCACAAATATAAAAGTTAAGATTTTACAAATTTGTTGAAAATGTTGAGTACAAAATGATAGAATAGATTTAATAATATGGAATTTGTACCATCGGACACTGGAATATTTAATACTGCATGCATGCGAACTTTTATCAGAAAAAAACTCATGCATCATTGGAGCAGATAAGGAAATAAAATACGATCTTGGCTGTTTCATTTAATTACAAATTGATTGCTTCTGTAAGTTTTCTTTCCTCAGGGATGCCATTTACCTGTAAACGACAATTCAGACATGTGTGAGATAAATAAAAAAAACAACTGTTTTATGTTATCCAGGGGGATTCTAAGACAAGCTGTTTTCATCCTTAGGTCCACTAGAATATATAGATATCAATTTATATGCCAACCTTAGAATACCTAATCTTCTGGATGAATGATTATACTGCCCAAACCTATCATTTATATGTGCTGTATATACTTTTGTATAAGTCAAGGGCAAGCTTTGGGGCCAAAATTATGGATTTTAACATGGCCCATGGATAAGTTGATGGCCCTTCTGCAGAGATGAGAAAGCACCAATGCCAATCGTCCTTGGCCGCCACCTATGCATTCAAAAAGACCAGAAACCGTGCCATGGCAGACAGAATAAAGAGGACCGATACTTCTTTTAGGTTCTCTCCTTAATAAGCTTTTACCTTTCACCCTCCACTGAGACAATGTCTTGACCCATGGATAAGTCAACCAACAGGGTTTTTTTTGTCTGTTGGCTTCGACTTATACAGAAGTATATAGGGTAGATCAACTTAATTACATTTACAATTACTGAATGTTTTTATCAATTTTTTTTACCATAACCAAGCAGTATTGATATAATACTTGCCTCCAATCTTTGGAATGTTGTCATTCGAAATTCTCCTTCAGTCCCCGAAAGCAGTAATAAAAAACAATGATTTTGAATACAATGCCCTCTTTAATGGGTTCAGGTGCAACTCACCAAACTGCTTAGGAACATTTAAAGACATCTAAGTACATGTCACTTCTGCCTAAATTGTACAATCCTGTTCTATCTGAATAATCTTAAGAGAGGTACCTCTGCGAAGTTTGTTGCATCAAAAACAAGAGAGTTGCATGGAACTTAAAAGATGGGGAAAATAGCTTTATTACAACATACAGTTAGGGGGAAAAGATTTCATAAGAGCCATCAACTGTGACGCCAAGTTGGCAGTTATACACAATTCCACTCAGTTATGAAGTGGAATTCTAATCTCCCAAAACCAAAATGCTTTTGTTTACCAGTATTAGAAAATGTGTTGTCAAAGGCTTTCATGGCCGGAATCACTGGGTTGTTGTGAGTTTTCCAGGCTGTAGGGCCATGTTCCAAAAGCATTCTCTCCTAATGTTTCACCCACATCTACGGTAGGCATAGAATGCTTCAAGAACATGGCCATACAGCCCGAAAACTCACAACAACCCAGTGTTAGAAGACTTAATTGGTTATATTGTACATTTCAACAATCTTCTGATTAATCTTGTGCTTGCCATTTATATTTTCATTTCAATGAATCTTTTTTTGACTTGGCTGCAAATGAAAATATTTATAGATAGGTTCTTTGAACAAGTGTGCAGAGAATAATATTCTGAGTTTTTAAACAAATAAAAGTTACCTTCTGTTTTCTGCTGTGGAATCTGAGTCTGATGTGGCAGGTTTCTATAAGGGATAAGAAGAAAAAATATTTTACATGAATAAATGAATCAATGGATACTATTACAAAATCTAAATTTAAAAAACCAACACTTTCCTGAAATAACTCATTTTCCTTAAAAGGTTTAATGATGACATCAAACTAATGTGTTTCTTCACTATAAAAACCAGTTGAATAAAAGGTCAGGGTTTCCCCTGACATTAAGTCTAGCTGTGTCTGACTCTGGGGGGGGGGGTGCTCATCTCCATTTCTAAGCTGAAGAGCCTAGACACCTCCTAGGTCATGTGGCCAGCATGTTACGTTCCTGCCAAGGTGGTAACTATTGATCTCACATTAGCATGTTTTTGAACTGCTAGGTTGTCAGAAGCTGGGCCTAACAGCAGGAGCTCACTGCTTCCCGGATTCGAACCACCAACCTTTTGGTCAGCAAGTTCAGTAGCTCAGCGGTTTAACCCTCTGCGCCACCAGTTGATGAATAGAAATGTTTAAAAGGATATGCCTGTATGTCTTAATATTTTATTCCTGGAATATTTCATTAAGCTCCAAAGATGTTGGATTCACTTCTTAGTTTCAGAGGAAGTTATCTGGATCCAGTATCTTTTGGGGGGGGGGGGGAATATATGAATGTAGTATCTTTATAAGGCCAACTGAAACATCCCAGATGTTTGTGAAAGAGGGAGGAAGCTACAGATGCTCAAATCAGAATTTATTATGTACACTACCAAGCTGATTACTGACAATAAACAAAAAAGCACTGTGATTATCCAATTTGGAATTATAGGTTTATTTTTTTGGTCTTTGTGACTTGCACACAAAGATTCCATGGTCTGAATACCTGCTACTCCACTCCTCCCTGGTTGCTTTGTTAACCATCTTGCCTAATTAAAGAGTTTTGAAAAATTCAAAAGCTGGCAGAATATTTTGTGCCATTGGAGACGGCCTAAATATGCAAGGCATATTAATCTTACTTGGCTTGTATGGCAAATCTTTGTTGATTGTTGGGATGTATCAAATAAAAAAGTAAAATAATAATAATTAAAAAAAACTTGTTCTAATGGAGATTCTGGAGATATATTATCAGTTTCTGTAAAAATCTATGTTCAGTTTACCTAGTCTGGAGTCAGTCTGAAACAGAACATTAATGTCTTCCATAATTGAAGATAAAGAAATCAGGGACAGCAATTCAGAATAAATAAAAACGAATTGATCCTCTTAAGCATAGATTGATTCCCCTTTCAAAACTCCACGAAGATGTGGTGGGGTAGGATATAATGAATACCAACTACTGAAATTATAATGTAATACATCGATTTATTTCTTATTCTGATATGATGGCAACTAAATGTCTCTGGACATCCACCAGGGGGAGTTTAGAATTGCAGAATGGCATCAAGGTTTTGTCTTTCCGGTTGCCTACAAAGAAGCCTTTATATATGGGTATGCCAACTTCAGTCCAGCCCAAGCTGTTCTTAATTTACCACGCTCACCATGGCCATATGACTCAGCAAGCAAGAATGAACACCAGATGAATTCTTGGAAACATTTTTGTCCCATGCTCTATTAGTAACAGTATATAAAACATTTGGCAAGCTAAATTATAGTTCTTTCTCTCCACCGGAACACATCCCTCATTATTTCCTATCAAGACTGGAGTTGCCCACTGCCAACACATGAATACTTTAGATGGCCAGTAAAAAATGCTCCTTTGCTTCTGCAAGTGGATGCCTCTTCTTGTGTGAGGATAAACTCAAATGCTCTGTATGTGGCAAAGAAGACACTACATCACCAATCCCAGGACAATTCCTCTTTGCTCCTTCTGGTCTTGAAAAGTTTTTTTGTCACCACTGTTTTCTAGTTTCCATGCCACATTAATGTCCTCCTCTTCTTTGTAAACATAAGATTCTAATGGACTCTTGTGTCTTCCAACAGCCATTCGGTGTAGTGAACACCTGTTCCACCGACCTCCCCACCAGTTGACTTATCTACCTTTTCACTGCAGTCTTGTTCTCGTTTCTGATCTCAAATTGGAGGATTTACTGTAAATTAGATGGAGAAGCTGGCTGATCTGAAGGTTTGGGTCCCATCTAACTTTTTCCTGCCCCCTTCGCTTCCCAGAGGCCTCTTCTTTTTTGAAAGGGAGGTGGTGGTCACTCAGCCCCACCCACTCCACCCCTCCACCATTTTAGGAGGAAGAGATGGGAGCGACAGAGGTGAGGCTTGCTTTGAAGCCAAGGAGGAAAAGGAAGGAGGAGGAGGAGGTGGAGCTGAGAAGAGAGAAGGTGAGAGAGGGGGGCTAGGGAAGGGTGCCTGGGGGGAGGGCAGGTGTATGAGAGGGGTGGAGTGGCCCCTCCATGGTCAAATCCCAGGGAGAAAGAGAAGTAACAAAATACATCCTGCATATCAGATATTTACATTATGATTCATAACAGTAGCAAAATTACAGTTATGAAGTAGCAACGGAAATAATTTTATCATTGGGGGTCAAGACAACATGAGGAACTATATTAAAGGGTCATGGCATTAGGAAGGCTGAGAACCACAATTCTAAAGACCTAATCCATTATAGCTAATAGTTGACCATATGCGGGGTTTGTTTCTGGAAAAGCACCAAATCCATCTGAACTACTTTTACATAGATGTATTATATTGCTATAAAATGCAAAAAGCCCTGTACTGAAATGATTTTATATATTTTGATAGTTTTGATCTGTACATAATACTTCTACTCCTAGCCAAAAAAAATTCAATTTTGGGGGATTTGGTACTTTTTGGAAAGGAACTCCACATATGGCAAGCCCACTTGGGAACTCCCCCTTCCAAACCTGAATAAGGCTATCTGAACCATTAACAGAAATAGTTGTTTTAGGAGTTACACCAAATCATTTTGTTATATATCTCACTTGTTTCTAGTTTTCAATTATATATGTTTTTATTATGAAATGTGACCCGGAGCCCTTCATCATTTTAGTTTTATTTTAAAATTTCTTAATGAGGTTTGACTAACATCTTACAAAAATGCATTACAGGACTGTGTAACAAGAAACGTGATACCTTAAATGCAGGATCCAAATTATCTTACAGCATGTGGTTCACAGTGCCATCTGCATAATTAAAGGTGTCAGCAGGTCCACAACAAAATTCAATTAAAGCATCCCAGCTATAGACAGGTTTATTGGTACTTACTGCTGTGTCTGCATCAGTGGCATGCTTGTATTGTCATAGCTGTCTGGGTGAACAGGCGGCACAATCTCCCCAGTGATCGGGTGAAACACCGGAAGCGTCGAGAGAGGCCATGCTATCTCTCTGTGTTTAGACATTTCCCGAAGTTCTTTTGTGGATTTCTGAATTGCACTGTGGTGCACCAGCTGGATGCTAGATCGAAAGGAAACAACATTTTCCCCATATTTACTGGAATTGCTTCTCTTGTAAAAAAAAAACCCAAAAAAACAGAACTGTATTTCAAGTAATTCGACAGATTATGACAACCCTGTTTCAAAAGAACTTTAAACAAAAACAACATCCTAGATTCAATATTGTTTGAAAGAGAGAGAAAAGGCTGGGATTATTCTTTTTTAGAGAAGAGCCGGACCACATAAAGCACATTAGCAACAGCCAGTCCTCACTCTCCTCTGAAGGCCAAACGTTTAATATCTGATTGCATTGCAAATGTCCACCTTTTCTTTCAAATAAGAACTTCAGAGGGCAATCAATATCGGAGCACAGTAAACAATGAGGCCAAAGAAAGAGCAGGAAACTCTTTCTCTCACAGTTTCAATCAGCAGTCAATGGGTCATGGACAAGCACTGGTCCATGGACCGGACCATAGCACTTATTTATCAGAAGAAAACAAACAAGTTACACACAACCATTAATATAACATCATCACTATTTGTTTCCCTAACTGCAGCCCAAGGGGAAAAGGCTTGATTGATAACTACAGTGTAACCCATCGGTCTAGCGTAAGTTAGTTGTGCTCTGTGCTCTAGAGCAGATTCTCAACCCTTGGTTCACCAGGTGGAGTTTTATCTAAGGAGTTTCATCTCCATAACAAGAATAGTACAAGCTCTAGAACACTGGTTTAATTTTTAGTACTGAAGGGTGCTTCCAGACAATCCTTTAATCCGGGAATGTTTTTGAAAAGCAAATGTTCCCAGGTCCTAATCTACACACGCCTCAGAAAGCTCATGCTTTCTGGGGTAGGATGTCCAGATGCGCTCCTGGAACCTTCCAGGAGAACATCTGGACACCAAAACCCCCTCCCCAATCCCCCCTTTAAAAATAAAAGAACTTACCTGGCTTTCATTAGCGTGGTGCCAGAGCTCTCCAGGTGTAGGAATGACACTCCAGGAGAAGGGGAGGCAAGAGCGATTTTCCTCCTCCCCCCTTCTCCTCATGTGTCATTCCTATATGCCAGGAGAGCTCCGGCGCCACGCTAATAGAGGCCAGGTAAATTCTTTTATTTTCAAAAGGGATTTGGGGTCGGGGTGGGTAGGGGTTAGTGTCATTGCGGTTCTCCAGGCTAATTTAGCCTGGAAAACCACAGGAATCTGAACTGCCCCCTCAAAATCCCAGAATTTTTGAAGGAGCAGTCCAGACAGCGGAAGTAGTGGATTTATCCCGTGGCTCCCACGAAAGCGTGGAATAAACCCACCAACAATTAAATTCAGGACAAATCAGGGTTTTCCTGGTTTGTGAGAAATGAATTCGTGTTTCTCTGGGATATCATCTGGATGGTCCCCTTTTAATTGCAGGAACTCACACTTTAAAGGGGCTGTTTGGATGCGCCCTTAGATGCTTTGAACTTCAGTTCTCAGAATCACTGATAATGTTTGCTCAGAAGTCATATTTGCTGGACCACTGAAGGCCCTTCCACAACATCTGCTTTGAACTAGATGATCTGAGTCCACACTGGCATATATTCCAGTTCAAAGCAGATAATGTGGAATTTTATTCAGTTGTGGAAGGAACCTGAGAAGATGAAGTCCAAAGCATCTGAGAGACTAAAAATTAAACCTAAACCACTGTTTTAGAGTATGAGCCAGTAGTGTTCTTGTTATGTAAATGAAACTTAAAGAAATCAAGTGCAAATATTTACTTTTGAATTTGATAACCTTTCTAGTTGGGGTAAACAATTTCTGGTCTACTAGGTACTTTGAACTATAACTCCCACAATGTCTGCCATTGCCTATGCAGGCTGAGGCTTCTGGAAGTTGGAAGGACAAAGCCACTGGAGGACTCATGATTTATCACTGGCTTCTTATGGATAGTTAACAATTATATACAAGTCATACTTAAAGCACTGCATTTGTGATTTTTTCCCATTCACCTCACAGAATTAAAGGCAATAGAATCACTGAAATGAATATTATATTTGGATTCTGATCTGTTTTATTGTGAATTTTAAACCCTTTTTATTTTACCCTACGCACTACATTTTTTTTCAAAGCAGCCATCACAAAGATGAGGAACAAGTTAAGGAAAATGAGAATGGTATACATGTATGAAGCATGACAAGCTACTGGAAAATGAAAATTAAATGTTGGAAGAAAATAACAGGAAAGAAGACACTTACTCTGGTGTTTGCATGTTTCTCTTTTCCCTAAAAATAAAACAAAAGTTATGAATTAAATAATAGCATTGATATTTGGAACATTAAATCTAACTGCTGATGGAAATAGTACATGACGTGGAAATGCTGGCCCTGCTACAAATGGTCATGATTCCAAGAAGGTGTGCATACATGCAACTCATAACTTTGTGCATCTCTGAAAGTATCAGTATCTTTGGAGATTTGTCAAAGAAGCTCCAAAGGCAAAGAGGCAAGCTGTACTTGAACAGAGGATTGCCTCTTCAGCAATGAGAGTACACTATGGCAAACCAAAGACTTCAGCTGTTCCTGGAGGGGTTTTGCTTTCTCCATTTCGACAACTTGCTTGGATCATGACCATTTATGCAACTTGGGAGCATTTGCCACAATGTTTATGAGAAGGCATGGGTGAAAGCACATAAAGAGATGACAGAGATGGAAGACACATACACAGAGAAGTGAATATGTAGGTTAAAAGGACAGATGCTGAGCTGAAAGGATCCTAGAATATGTGTATGTAAAACGGAAGAAGTTGTGTTGCTTGCTGCTTTTTGTTTTATGCTCTTGGCTTTTATAATCCTAAATTCAGTTCTCAATCCTGATAAGGTTTATTTTAATGGTTAAGTATGTTGTCACTTGTAATTTCGCTTCAAATTACTGCCTTTTAAGTTGCTTTTGTGGGTGGGTTCCTCAGTTTTGCAGTTTCATAATAAATCAAGCAATATGTTGAGTTCCAAAGTTGCCTAATTGGAGTAATTTTATTGCATGTTTAAGAAATTATTAAACCTGATTTTATAAACTGAATTAAGCTCAACTACTGAATTCCTCAGGTGCCTGTAAAGTTGCAAAATTGTACAATCATTTACAATGGTTTCAAAGTACTCACACTCCTTCCCTTCGGCAGCACATAATATATGCAAGTATTAGAAAAAGCACCAATGCTATTGCAGAGGGTATTGCCAATGTAATGAGGAAATCAGAATAATAATCCCGGCTTTTCAGACTTTCAGAGGGGGGCTTGTACTCGCCGACATCTAGTAATTTGTTTTCTTTGTGGTTCACTGCTTGAGAAGTATAAACATGTTGCGTTGGATAAACCTGACGCCAAAAAAAACAAGAGTTACTTTAATTTTTTAAAAAGGTGATCAAAAGCCATAAAGCAGTACAGCTGAACAATCTCCATTTATCCCAGCAAAGCTGAAACACTAGACACCCAAATTCACAATTTATTTGTAAGTAGGCTTTGCGCCACAATGTATGTCTGCAGAAAAATAATACTTCTGTTTAAAATATATAGCATGAGGTCTCCATATAATGCTAATTCAAACATAGGAATTTTAAAATATGCTCCAGTCATTTGAACAACGTATGATCTATAAACATTTTTGCTTCCCTGTTTAATAAACTGAGCTTATTTTAAACAACTGAGCTTATTTTAAGTTCTTTGTTTTCTTGGGGGGGGGGCAGGGGGCGGAAGCTATGAATCTGCTTAAAAGAAACTGAATTTTGGCTGATTATGCCTCCAATCCACAAGAGAATGAGAAAAGAAAGTGGACACTATAGAAATGCCTATGTTTCACAGGAGCTCCTTTCTGTTCATGCATGTAGCTCTAAAATACAGTTTAGTGCTACATATAAATACAATAGAAAACCACTTGGTTAATAGCTTTTGTTTTCATTTTGAAACATTCTGGAGACAAGGACTTGGAGCAATGGGTTCAAATTACAGGAAAGGGGATTCCACGTGAACATAGGAAGAACTTCCTGACCGTACAAGCTGTTCAGCAGTGGAACTCTCTGCCTCATAGTGTGGTGAAAGCTCCTTCCTTGGAGGCTTTTAAACAGAGGATGGATGGCCATCTGTTGGAGTGCTCTGATTGTGCTTTCCCTGCATGGTAGAGGGATGGACTAGATATCCCATGTGGTCTATTCCAACTCTATTATTCCATGATTCTATAACGCCACCAGTCCACTTCATTAAAATCAATGAAGTGTTGTTTGCCAAGTGCAGAAAATAGGACACGATTAATGTTTATCTCCTGCACCAAAATCTGCTTTTAGCTTTCTTTCATGTAAGAAACTACTGGGACAGACCAAAAGAGACTTATGGTATGTAACTGTATTAAACATAAAACTGGAAGACTCATCTGTCAGGGATTTTTCTAGGTTCATCACAACAACTGTTACAGTGCTCTGCCATGTTTGATAATAAGGAAACCACTAAGAACACTTGGACTCCCTTGACTGAGGAGGCCACCACTTGCTACTTCTTAAAAATGCTAATGGATCCATAACTGTCAGAAGGGCAAGCAGTCACACCCAATCACCTATTCAGCAAGAATAGCATAATTTCAGACAATCTGGGGAAAGTGAGGCACTAAAAAACCTAGCTGCTGCTAGAAACAGTATGTGGCGTATCCATTATCACACCTGATTCTCCCATTAAGTATTAGTTATTTACATATGGACTCTACTTGGACTGAGGCAAAACTGCAAGGAGGGGAAAATCCCAGATAATTCTATAACTAACATTATAGCAATTAACTTTAGATTTTGATCTCTATATTAGCCCTTTAGAATTCATGAGCATTCTAATCCCCAGGCACCTGACAAATGATTAAAATGATAAAAAAGTGTTCAGAATTAATCCTCTACACGTAATTTTTGACAGACAACACATAACCATGATTAAAGATGCATTGAGCACTGCCAGTTGTTGTTTTACTGGTTATTATCTAAGATTAAGGATTGTGTTGCCTCAAGGGAAACAAGACATAGAGCACTGAACACTCACAGAATCAGGGAGTTACAGAGTTGGAAAGAACTCGCAGAGTTACTCAAACCTTTTTTCGGACATGCAGGAATATGCAACTAAAGCACTTATTCAACTTATTTTTAAAGAACTCAATTGAAGAAGAGTCCACCAGCTTCCAAAGCAATCCATTCATCTATTGCACAGCTTTAACTTTATTTATTTATTTGCATTATTTTTACCCCACTCATATCAGCCTGGAAGCAACTCAGAGCGGCGTACACAATCGGCACAATTCGATGCCATAAAAATACATACATTGATAAGCAAAAGAACCATTATAGTGCAATTAGAATAAGACAGTGCATAATAACAATATTAAAAGCTAAAAACTATATCCTCTCATTCAAGTCCTTATCAGTTCCATCATCTTGGGCCGTTCCTGGGTCATTTTCCAATTCAAGTTTGTCTATTTATTCGGAGGTTCCAAATGCTTGCTCGAAGAGCCAAGTTTTTACTCTTTTCCGAAAGGTCAAGAGGGAGGGGGCTGATCTAATGTCCCTAGGCAGGAAGTTCCACAGCCGAGGGGCCACTTTGATAACTGCTTTGATTTCATCTAATTTCAGGAGCTAAACAAGATCAAGTTCCCAAAAGAGAATTAGAAGAAAATATTTGGAATCTTCAGATAAGGGGGGGGGAAATGATTCTTGCACGAAAGTCCAGAAAGCCACTGATATCACCAGGCTACATGGACTGAGGATCTGACTCAGTATGAGATTTCATGTGTTCCTAATAAATTATTAATATATTTGTATAATTTATCGTCCACAATATTATGTTGAAAATAGCTATGAATGCCGTGCCACAAAATCAACCAGTAACTCACCAAATTCAATTTACACCAGTCTATTTGGAACTGACTCCGAAACTTTTTATCACAGGTTATGACAGGCTCCATTTCTTGACTACATCTTAGCTTATTTTGTGGGTTTTCAGGTTCTCGTAAGCAGGAAGAAAAAGTAACATCTGCACCAACCATAACATAGACCCTGCAAACAAGAAAGTTTTTGGACCGTTATTGATAAATCTTTCATCCATGGGATGGACCCAAAAATTTTGTCCTGTGTTGTCTTCTTCTTCATTGTTTCTGCTTTCTAACTCATTCTCAGAAACATGGGATAAAATCATTGTCTATAATGGTGTTTTATTAAAACAGGCATATGAAAGCTGGGAGCAAAATAAAATATATTTTTCATATTATCTGTTAATTTTTCTTAACAGCAACTTTTAGGACATCAAAACTATTTTAAAAGAATACTAATAATACCTAATCAGAGCCAAATACAGGAATATTTAGATTAAACCCATGAGAATTAGTGGATGTTAAATTTGTTGTGTCTCATGAGTTGACTGATACTAAATGAGTTGGCTCTAAGCATGATTTTGAGCTTCTTAAGATTAAAAAAAGTCCCTGAAAGTGCGATGTTTTGCTCTTGTACAAACTGATTTTATTCTGGTGATCTACATAACATTTTCCCTATTTCAAAGTTGTCTCAGGGAATTCCCAGTCTTATCAAGGACTTTTCAATCCCATTCTCCAGCTTAGTTTCAAAATAGCCCACTATTTATTTATTTATTTATTTATTTATTGCTTGGGGCATTTGTATCCCGTCCTTCTCAACCTGCGAAGAGCAACTCAGGACAGCTACCAACCAGCACTATTCAGTGCCAACACAGAATAAAACATAGCATAAAATACGATTAACACAAGTAAAACAGGACTTCCGGTGAGCATGAAGACCGGCAGGCAGGGTGCTCCTGAGCTCCGAGAGCACCAAACTACTCTACCAAATAGAGGGTAGAAATGTACCCTCCCCCCCTGGCGGACTGAGGACAGGGGGGTCGCCAAGCCAGCTGAGCGTCTGCCGACGGCCCCAAAGACCCTTTTCCCCTCAAGGGAGAGGCTCGAGAGGGCCCGGTAAGAACGCTGATGGCGTTGCGGATGGAAGAGTAGGAAGCAGCCCGCAAGGACTGCAGATACTGCCGACTCGGCTCATTTGCTACTGAAGAAGGATACTGGAAAAGAAGGAAAAGAAGAGGGGCTTCGAGAGACTACGGGGCACCCTGCAATCTTACTATAAGGTAGCTGATCTTTCCTCCTTCTCGACAAGCCGGCTTTGATAGTTATAAGCAAAGGAGTACAACAAGGAACATTCGAGGGGCTATATTTTGTGTGTTGTGTGTTGCATTTTGTGGTAGGGGCAGCCAGAAAGAAATAGAAAGGAGAAGAAAGAAATAGACCCATTGGGTGCTACAGGAAGAATCTTTGGCTTAGTCCGATATATAGTCCGATACATAAACATCTTATAAACATCTTATATTATTATATTATTTTATTCTAGCCTATACCCCAGACTCAACAACGAGTGCCTAAGGCTCAATGTTCAATGTTTAATAATGTTTAACAGTATCCCGCCGGCTTTACATGCCATGTGCGGTGCAGAGTGGGGGTACAGAGTATAAACGCCAGGTGGCTGGAGAAATTAAAGCCCATTGGTACCGATCACAAAAGCAACTAAAGCAGTTAGAACCAGAGGTAAATGGCAAAAGCAAAATCAGTCTGAGATCCTCATTCAAACCAGCTGAGGGAAATTAATCTATTAATCAATCAACGAAGAGAGAAGAAACCACATTAAAGGACCTACCCCAGCTGCATGTTTGTTATTCGCTGGCTCCACCCTCTCTGAGACTCACGAGGAGAAAGGGAAGTAATACAAAAGACACCGAGGCTATCAAGCGGAAGTGGGCCAGAGCGACGTATAGAAGAGTGGGGAAAAGACGGAGAGCTGGAAGGAGAGAGGGGCGAGAGAGCAAGGGCGGCTCGGAGGCTAACGGAAGGAAAAGTAGAGTCTAAGAGCACAAGAGTGAGCCTAGAGGGGACAGAGAAGGACCTGAACGAGGGAAAAAGAGTTGAAAATAGTGAAAATTATATTGAAAGGTAAGACGGGGAAAACGGGAAAAGAGAGAACATGAAGAGGTAAACAAACAACGGAATGTGGAGAAACCCTGAGATAAGCAAAGAGGGGGAAAGAAGAATAGCCCATTCCAAAAGTACTGGGAGACAAGCGCCACTATAAAAGATAGGAGGGGGACGATAGAGATTATTTCAAAACTACAAACCTAAATATCCCCATCTCCTACAAGCGGAGATAGGGGAGAAGAATAAACTAAAAGGCATTAGGGTCAAATTACAGCTCTTCTCCCTAGAGAAGGACCATTAAAGGAACCAGATGCCTAGATAATTAGAGTAAGACTTTTAGACCTCTACTTACCAGACGGCTAAGAAGAGAAAATACTTCTATTGAAACCCCCCCCCTGCACAACATAAGCAACCCTCCCCTCCCCTCTCTCCCCCCCCCAGCCAAGATGTCTACACCCAAAGTAAAAGGAGACAAAGATACCAAAGAGTCAAGAGAGACTAAAGAATTTAAAGAACCTAAGGACTATAAGGACCTTAAAGAGATAAAGATACCCCCCAGAAAAGGATCTGGCGCTGAGGAATCCGTCCTAAGGGAACTATTGAAGGAAGTGAAGAGCATATCAGATAAGCAGGATGAACTACAGAAGGAACTTAAGAGTATGGCAGAGAAACAAGAAGAGCAACAGAAAGCCCTCCAGAATCAGATGATGGAAATGAAGAAAGAATTGACAAGTGAGATGGAAGATGTCAAAGGAGAGATAAAACAATTCCATATGGAGATTAAACAGATTAAAGCTGACAATGAAAAAATGGGAAAAACACAAGAACAATTGGAGAAAAGAATAGGAAAATTGGAGAATAAGAATTTGAAACTAGAACAGATTCAAGAGAAAATAGAATTTAGAGATCTGGAATTCCAACTAAGATTTAGAAACCTCATAGAAGACCCTCAAGAAGATGTGAGGAAGGTGATAACACAAATGACGGCGGCACTCCTCAACACACAAGAACAAACGATGTCGCAGGAGATTGACAGGGTGTACAGGGTTACAACGAATTTCTCTAAGAGAAACAGGGTTCCTAGAGACATTATAGTACATTTCACAAAGAAAAGAATTCGTGATGAGATAATCAAGAGAAACAGTGAGAAGCCAATCCACTACAAAGACAACAGGATTATAATACTTAAAGAATTCCCCTCCTCGATGCTGGCAAAAAGACGTAAATACCAATTCCTGACTGACGATCTGAACCGCCTACAGATTAGATTCCGCTGGGAAAGACCGGAAGGAATAATGTTAACATATAAAGATCAAAAGTTCTGGTTGACATCAGAAGAAAAAGCCATGGCGTTTTACAAAAAATTTAGGAAGGAACTTAACTTAACCCCACCTGCCCAGAGAACCGGAGGAAAAAGTAAGAAACGACGCTTCGACTCTCCAGAACAAGAACTAGAATCGCAAATACGGACTCTGAAAGAAACAGGAATGGAAAATAGGAAGAAAGATGATACGGACATTTTATTGAATTTTGATAATGAGTGAACTGTTAAAACGAATAAAATGCTTTTCGAATAATACAAATGGTCTTAATTCGTCTACTAAAAGAAAGAAGCTGTTTAACAAATTAGCTAGGAGCCACTATGATGTAATTGCACTCCAGGAAACCCATATCGCCCAAAAGCATACAGCACACCTTGTCTATAAAAAATTGGGAAAGGAATATTATTCGTCAGCCTTAGATAAGAAAAAAGGGGTTGTGATCTACATAAATGAGAAAATCCCAGCGGAACTCGCATTTAGGGATAAGGAGGGAAGAATCATAGGGGTAACTATACAAGTAGAAAAACAAAAGATTCTAATTTGTAATATATATGCCCCTAACGGCCCCAAAACTAAATTCGTGGATAGTTTATCAGAAAAAATAATAGAACAAGACTTTGATAGTCTAATTAAAAGCATTGTAGTCCATTAAAAGTAGTCCATTAAAAGCATTGTCTTTCCCAGCAAGCCAGTCTATTTTGCCAACACTTGATCCTACATCCAGGATTTGAGTTTCTTCCGGAAGGTCAGGAATGAGGGGGTGGATCTGATCTCGTTAGGGAGGGAGTTCCACAGCCGAGGGGCCACCACGGAGAAGGCCCTGTCTCTCGTCCCCACCAAATGCGACTGCTATGGTGGTGGGACTGAGAGCAGGGCTTCCCCAGACGATCTTAAGTTCCTTGGTGGTTCATATAGGGAGATACGTTCAAACAGGCAAACTGGGCAGGAACCATTTAGGGCTATATAGGCTACTTCTCAAAGTAAAATCTGTATCTCCATTGCTACCTGTTTGTACTATACTAGAACAAGGTAAGAAAGCTCCTACCAGAATCAACAGAAATCAAGCAACAGAAAGACAAATGCTAGCAATAAGATAAAATAATCTTAATGGTTAATTAGTGTAATATTCTAAAGAACTTTAGCAATTTGACTACAGTATATTACCTAAATAATTTAAAAGGGTTCAATGTAAATTGGTGAAAGTCAATTTCAAAAATATTGCCTGAACCTAGATGTGGTTCATGATTGGGGTTAAAGGGAGGGGATAAAGGACATAAGCCTGAACCTAGATGTGGTTCATGATTGGGGTTAAAGGGAGGGGATAAAGGACATAAGCGAGATTGAGGGAAACCTGGGATACTTCAAGAGTTTGGATGTAAAAGCACAAATTTATAGATACCAAAACAAAATAACTGGAATCTCTCTATACTTCCAGGGATTTTTCTTTCCCTTTCTGGGTCAAACCTCAATCGGAATCTGGTTCAGTAGCATCTGCTATTTAATGAACAGCAATTGCTTACTTACCCTTCTTTCATATTATTAATAGGAAGTGGGACTCTGCCTCCCCTATCCAAGGCTGAAGTTATGTTTATGGCGTTCAGGCGCTCTGGTTGCCAAACATTTTTCACAGCTCCAAGGAAGTCTCCAAGGACCTCACTTGCCAACATTTCCTCTACATTCATGTTTTTAATGAAGAATTCTGCTTGATATGGTAAAGGAAAATCTGATTGCAAAGAGAAAATTAGTTGTACCTTAGATTCTTGTTATATTTCAAAACAAGCAAAAATATGCAATTGGAAACATACTTTTAGAAATGTGATAATGAAAAGTCCCAGACCCTTTATTAATTAATTTATGGGTGGGAAAAGAAATCTTAACCAAGGTTACAAGATGGAGAGCTCTATATCACAATAATAATAATAATAATAATAATAATAATAATAATAATAATAATAACTTTATTGATATACCGCTCCATCTCCCCAAGGGGACTCAGAGCAGTTCCCAAGTAATATCACAAAACATAGAGAATAAAAACAGCATAACCATAAGATTAACAAACAAAATATAAACATAAAAATTGTCGCCATAACACACATATATTAAAAGTAATCCTGCCTGTTCAAGACAATTAAAAATTTAAAAGGCAAGGCCAAGATTTGCGCAAGCCCAAAAATTCTAGGGGCCCCAGGAATTAAGTGCAATGCTATGGCAGGCAACAATAATATTAGGTACGGGTCTGTAGCTGTTCATTCCGGGGGCAATTAGAGGAAATAATCTGGGTAACTGGTAGGAAGAATAAGGCCGTAATAAACAATGTGTGGGGCTGAGTTAGAACTGGTCATTTTCAAAGGCTTGTTGAAACCACCAGGTCTTCAAGCTCTTACGAAAGGAGGGGAGGGATGGGGCCTGTCTTATTTCCTTTGGAAGGGTGTTCCAGAGACGGGGGGCCACCACTGAGAAGGCCCTCTCTCTTGTCCCCACCAACCGTAAGTGAGGGCCCTTCTACACATGGTGAGGGCCTTTCTACACATGGCTAAGAGCCTGGAAGTAACCGGGCTAAAAGGGTAGGGGGTGGCTAAACAACGTTTAGCCAAAGTATGGGTGGAATTGGGTTAACAGCTGAAAATCACATTCTGAATTAGTGGAATACCACAATTTGCCTAAAATCTAGGATCAATCCAGTAGGTGAATGTGGGAACTGACCTGTTAAATACTTCCATGAGTAAATATTATTTTAAAGCAAATGTAAATGCTAGAGAGTTGCCAGGCTTAAGCACCATCATAAGTGTTCATAATAGTGGAGAAATTCTGAAAGTTGGAATCTAGAAAAGCAGCTTTGCAAAGCTTTCAGAGGTGCTTTGAAGTTATTTCTAAACACATGATGTATCCTGGGGCTCATAATCCAACGATCGGCACTCCCTGCAATTTATATTAATGGGCGAGGCACAGTTTCCTTATACAAGCTGTTGTTGTAAATGTTAACATTTCCAAATAATTTTTATGAGGGTGAAGTCCTCTTAAACACTGGTGATTTAGAAATAGCCAAACAAATGGAAATTAACAAGTAGTATATTTTCATTCACAAAATATGCTGTGCATTTAATTATGTTATGGTAACGGAGCCAGCATAGTGTACTGGTTTGAACATTGAACTAGAATATTGGGAGACCTCAGTTTGAATCCCTGTTTTGACATGGAAACCCACTGGGTGACCTTGGGCAAAAAATACTATCTGGGAAAGCCAAGAGCAAACTCCTTCTGAACAAATTCTGTCACTAAAACCACATAAGTTCACCTTAGGACTGTCATAAATAAGAAATGTCTTGAAGGCACACAACAACAACATCAACCTAAACACATGGCATTTATTTATCAGTTTTATAATCTAAAATGCTGGGCAAGTTCCCCTGGACATACCTTCTGCTGACATTATATTAATAACCAAATTATGCCTTGCAGTCTCAAATGTACGCCTGTTGTATGCAGTGATCTAACAAAGTAAAACAATAACTTGTTACTGAGTTTCTGACAGTGATCAACAGGTGGGCATTAGCATTAAACATCACCTTGATAGTCATACATCCATTCATTTCAAATAGTTTAGAAATTAGATGAAAAAGAGAGCATCTTATAACGACAGTCTATCTCCCCAATCTTACAACCTAAAACTGTGACATAAAAGGAAAAAGGGATAGAGAGCAAGGAGGGAAAAGTAAACCCAGTAACCACTTCTTAAAGTTACAATTCCCATAATGATCTGCTGATAAATAAATTACAGATAGCATAATGAAAATGCTTTTCTATGGTGCATCTACACTGTAGAATTTATGCAGTTTGGTATCACTAACTGAGTCAGGTTAATGCAGGTTGACACCACTAATTGAGACTGACTAAAATGTGGTAATGAAAAGTCCCAGACCCTTTATTAATTAATTTATGGGTGGGAAAAGAAATTCAGCCTTAACCAAGGTTACGGATGAATTTTTCATGACTAACTTCTATAGGACGGAGGGAGTATCCATATCACAGAGTTTATCCAAATCTGGAGTCAAATCCAAATCTGGGGCTGTTGCTTACAAAGCCAGGAAGAAGTCATTCCGACTTTGCCCAGAAGTAGCTGCGCACCCTGAAGACTGCTAGCTTTGTATTTGAGGCGAGTCTGAAGTTTTTGGCTAACGTAGACAAGTTCTAAATCATCAAACCAAGCATAAAAGTCATTAAAAGTGCTAATTTACTAGACAGTATGGTAGAAAGGCAAATCATAAACAGCAGTGGTCATGTTGTCTGGGTATAATGGGAACTGTAGTCAATCACATTTTGATGGATAGGAAATAAGATGAAAGAATGAGATAATGTCACTACAAAGTCCTAAAATTCTGGCATCTGACTTGAGGCACTTTTAAATCCATTCATTTATTTGGCATTACAGGTCATAAGTATATGCTTAACTCAGAAATATGTAATGCCAACAAGATAATAACATGGAAACATTTGGTTGAGTTGTTTGAATTATTTTGTTTACAAAAAAGCTAATTGTGTTTTTCTCATTCTCAATGCTACAGTAGGTGGTACTCATATATTATCACGCAGCACACAAAAACCTACAGTAACATGTGTGTGTCAAAATGTCTGCTAAAAATGAATAAATATTCTGAAGTCAACATACCTCAATTGTGGTTGATTTGCCCACACTTTCTATAGTTGGTGATCCATATAAAACTCCATCACTATATGGCGTTCTTTGAATATATCGTAGCCAACCAGGTCTATCAGGGTAACCCATGAGGTTTGTGTTAAATGTTATAGGATCATTGTTCATCTCTCCTGGATAAATAGGACATTTGATGTGAAATATAGTTTAAACATATCAAGAGCACATTATTTTGATTAGGTATGTACTTCTTCACTGATTTTGTTCTTGAAATATGAATGTTCTTTCAAACTGTAGAAAGTTTGAGCCATTGCCAAAGACAATTTGAATTTTAAGACTTGTTCTGCACAAAATCCAAATGAGGTATTTTTGCACAGAAAACAGCACTTCCTATATAGAAAACACCAACACTGCAAATATTGAACTTCCTGTATATCAAATACTGTTTTGTCTAAAAAGTGAGAATTCTGAACTGTGAACATTTTTGACACTTCAGGTATTATCTCATTTTTTTTGGAAAAACGTATTTTTAACCATTTGAAAATATTTTAGCATTCTTTCCTTTCCTAATCACAATACAATACCAATAACAACAGAAGTAATTTATTAGTTGCTACTATGAATAATGCACTATTACAATAAATCTGAATTTATGCACAGTAAGTGAAAATGATGTGAGAACTAGCACTGTTTAGTGGTTTGAGCATTAGAGTCTGGAGAGTGGATTTTGAATCCTAATTCAGCCAGGAAATCAAATGGAAGACCTTAGGCCAATTATATTATCTCAGCATCATATGGAGGTAAAGGAAAACCCTCTTCTGAACAAATCTTTCCAAGAAACCCCTGTGACAGGTTCATTTTAAAGCTGCCATAAATCAGTAACACACACACACATGAACAAAATTAAAAAGGCATGCTTTCTGGGTAATTTCAGCCAACAGCAATATCTATAAAGATGTAATGAGCAACAGTGATCAGTAAGGGTCCTGAAACATAATTGCATAAACTTTTACAAAAATCTGTGCCTAGTAAAACCTTGCCCACAAAAAATCATATTTAATAATCTAGCACTGATGTGGTCTATCCAATGCAATTTTCTGAATCGGCACCCCAAATAACCCCAGGAACAGGCCTAAAAATGAAGACACCAAGGCGCCCCTGCTTCCAGGTGCCATATAGAATAGCTCCACTCAAGAGGAGGGAGGAGGAGAAGCAGCAGTCAGGAGGCTTGTTGTCATGCCTTTTGTGGGTAGTCAGCCTCTCCCCCCTCGACATCCCCGTTGCCTCAGCACTATAAGAGGGTTTTGCAAGACCAGTTGCTCTCGTTGCAATGGTGTAGTAATGGTGAGGTCGCAGACCATATTTTAGTTCTTGGGGATCACTGCTAGTCCATGGAACACAGGTTGGGAACCAATGCTCTACAAAGAGTTATACTGCATGTTAAATGCTAAAAGTGACAAAAAGTTTTACCTCTGCAGAAGTAAGTCTTCATTTTAAAATGATGCACATGAAGTAGAGAAAAAGCGGAGAAGCAAAACTTTAAAATAATAAATTAGGGTTTCACCTTCAATTAGAATTATGCCTCCACTAGTAAGCAAGCATACAGTGAAATTTAGTGGGATTTGCTCTGGAGTAATAATATTAATAATAGTAACAATAATTGTAATAATGGATAAGATTACCATGTTTATTGCCAGTCGGAATCACACTGCAAAATTAATCTGAACTGTATATCTTGTTCATGTATTTCTTAATAAAGGAAGCATTTCTTACCAGGCTTTGGATAAGGAGGAAATTCCCCTTTAAAATATTCCCTCTCCAAAACATGAACAAAGAGAACACCAGCAGAAGGGTATACATTCCGATCAGACTGCACCTTAGAAAGGATTGTGAACACTGAAAAGCAGTAGAGAAAAGAGGCATAAAATGAAACAAGTCAGACTTATTTAAAACAATGCAATATATCCAAAAATGATACAGGTTCAGAATCCCTTATCCAAAATGCTTTGAATCAGAAGTGTTATGTGTTTTAGAGTTTCCTCCCAGATTTTGGGATATTTAATAGAATACGTACATACTCCAATATCTTGGAAACAGGATGCGAATCTAAAGACAAAATCCATGTAGGTTTCAAATACACCATATACACATAGCCTGAAGGTAATTTTATACACAATATTTTAATACTTTTGTGCATAAAACAAAGTATATGTTTATAAGCCGGTCTAAGTCCCTCTACGGAGGTAGAGAAGATTGGGATATAAACGTTTTAAATAAATAAATACTGAACCATTAGAAAGCAAAAATGTCACTATCTCAGCCTCTCATGTAGACATTTTTGGAATTTGGAGTATTTTGAATCTCAGAATTTCACTTAAGGGATGCTCAACCTGGGGAGAAGAACACCCGAAAACAATGTTCCTATCATCGTCCAAAAGGTGACATTAAATATAAACGTTTTTCCTTTTTATATATACACCCAAAGCACTCTATGTATATGTTGCCAGAAAAATTGAATAATTTAGCACTTCACAATGACAGTAGAAGCAATTATTCTTACTTGTGAATTTCTACTCCATTCATCAAGTTTGACAGAGTCTCAAATTGGGTTTTTGCAAATTTTAATAAATAGAAGAAATAGCTTGTATCACCTTACAGACTGTCTGAAAAATGTTTACTCAGGAGCAAGTCCTACTAATTTCAACAGGATTTACTTCCAAGTCATATACACAGCCTTAATTTTTTGTTAAACACAGAAACATAAAAAAGCATGACAAAAGGAGGGTTTTATATTGGTGAAGGAATTAAGAAAATCGGTGGCCATAAATATATTTCATACTGTCTGCAGCTTCCTGGTTTAACCATTTAGGGCCCTGGAGCGAGGGATGACAAGAAAGGTACAGTTCCATCCATCCATCCCAACTGCAACTGGCCTGGCCATGGCAAGAAAGAAGAATAGGCACGAGTCCTTCATGCCTAGGCCCAGAAGCAAATAAAAAACCTTCCCTCCATTATCAAATTGTTATTGCCCTGGCCTCAGGGAGAGAAAAGCCTACCTTAGGCACAACACCATCATGGCTAGTCCTAGAAGCAGATGAAAAGCAACTGTCACTGCCCTGGCTATAGAGGAAGAGAAGAAGGGGCAGTATCTGTTGGATTCATTCCCTTCTCACAATGCCATTCCTTTTTCCTTGTGTGTTCTGTCTTATTTAGACTGCAAACCTTGGCACATATTTTTTTGGATTCCAATTCCCAGAACAGGAAATACTCAGCATTGGCTGTGAAACCTCTTAGGTCCGTTCAACACTGCCATATAATCCAGTTCGTACTGCATTATAATACCCAGTGTAGACTCATATAATGCAGATCGAACAACATTGAATTGGATTATATGAGTCTACACTGCCATATAATTAACTTCAATGTAGTTAATCTGAATTTTGAAACTGAATTATATGGCAGTGTAAGATGATGGGCCCAACTCTGTAGTCTAGGGAACTGTGGTCTGAAAACTTTTTAAAAACAGTCAAATATTGAGTATTCATATATTTTGAAGTAATAACTTTCTCATCTTAAGGAAGGGAGGGAGGGAAGCTTGAGTTGGCTTTTAAAAGTTCACTAACAAAAGCTGCTGTCACTTGGCAATTTAGCATTCAAAAGGATCAGTACAATTAGGTTATTGCTTTCAATGAATCTCTCATAACTAGGAAATAACATGCATTTTCTGTTCCTTGCATCTTAAGAAATATGCAACTGAATTTCTCAAATTATCCATTCATTAAGTAAATGCTTGTACTGATTGGGCTCAAGAGAAAAATATATTAAGAAAAATACATTATTCATTACACATGACTATATTAAGAAAAATACATTATTCATTACATATGATACTGATACTTTGAAGAGGGACCATGGGTTCTTATGTAATCTTCCATTTTGGTCAAAACAACATTGCCATTTTGACAAATGTAGCACTGATAGAAGGGCATATTTCTAATTATCTAGGCTATGCTGATAATTTAGGACACCACAGGCTACCCTGCTAGCCTCATCAAAGCTAAAATTTGACTTCCAAAATGCAAAAGTAGTCAGCTAAAAAATCAGTAGCACTTTTTTATCATGTCAGTGATTGCATTAAAAACTACTTCATATGTATGATCAAAATTTGAGCACACTAGGAGTCAATTCAACCCTCAAACATATTGGTCTAGTGAATTTAATATCTTTCTTACATTTGTGTACAGAAGACAGGTAGCACTTCATTGATTAGGCTAGATTTCACTCCAACACCACTGTTTCGTTCAATATAGGGACACTACTGCCACCATACAAACACATGTGTCAAGTATAGGGAGGCCATATTTACAAAAGTCAGTCCTCTATCTGAAAGGTATGCTATAGGCAACTCATTTGAAATGTGATGGTAGAAAAGAGTACCGCAGATACCATGGACTGCCATAATAATTAGGTCCTAGAACAGTGGTTGTCAACCTGTGGGTCTCCAGGTGTTTTGGGCTACAACTCCCAGAAATCCCAGCCAATTTACCAGCTGTTAGGATTTCTGGCAGTTGAAGGCCAAAACATCTGGGGACTCAAGGTTGAGAACCACTGTCCTAGAACAAACTAAGTTTGAAAGTCACATTTTGCAGGACCTGAGCAAGGTTGTTGGTGATGGTGTTTCTTGGAGATCTCTCATTCATAGGGTTGTCATAAGTCAAATCTGACAATGGAAACTGCAACTAGCTGAAAGGTGGTACAAGTTCAACTCGTGTATAAGTTGAGAGTATGTTTTGTGACCAAAATTTTGGATTTTTATATGACCCATCGATAACTTGATAGTCATCAAAGCATCAATAACATCACAGGAGGACATCTGCCCTCGACCACTATTTTTCTGCTCAGGCATTTAAAAAGGCAGAATCTGTGTCATAGTGAAGAGAGTATAGGGTGTGGCTGTTTCTTTTAGGTTTACTCAAGATGAACTAAGCTCCCTGCTTTTGCCACTCTCCTCAGAAAGGGGATGGTTCCTTTATTTTAAAAAAGAGCTAAGGTACAGTACTCACACTGACCTGTGGATAAATCAGACCAGATTTTTGGAGTTTATTTTCTGACTAAAATTTCTAGACTTATTCATGGATAAAGAGCCACAAGGAGTGAGATTAGAGACCTAGATGATAAAGAGGAACATCAGATACCAGCCACAATTAGCAGCTGGACAGAAAATCCCACAGAAACAAAGGTTATATGGTCACAATCTTTCTACTCAAATACTGTAATTCTCTTTACATGATTAATGTCTTTTCTCATTTATATCTGTATATATAAATTAGTATCTGAACTACTATACAAACTGGCATCCTATTTTCTTCTTTTTTCTTTTTCCCATGCACACCCTATTCTTCTCTTCTCTGAGAGAAGCTGAAACCTCCCTGGGAGTGCATGGTTACATAGGCTTACTTGAACCAACATCGTCAATATGCACGTTTATCAGACCATGTTAAAATATCTTATCCTTTGATATATATGTGAGGGATATTTTGTAAGTCCAAAGACTTAAAAAATATCATCCAAAGAAGACCATATCCTAATCATGCAACACATATATTATTGTTTCTCCAATTGGGACATTTCCCACTAGGCAACCAGTAAAGGTCGTATCTATTGCCCTCAATAAATCATCTGTTTAGATTGAAAAGAAACACTAAATGCAGAACAATTAAACATCTTTCCCAAAGTTCCATACTATCCTGGGTGAATTTTAAAAAAAAATTAACTGTATTACTCTATATTTTCCCTTTACTATTTCAACTTGGTTTGCAGGTGCGTTGAGAGAGAGGAAATATGTTTTAAATAGGTGAAATTACAGAAAAGCAAAACAACCTAATACAACAATTTCACATTAATACATTTTGCTACTTCTTTCCCCAAATGACTTTTAAAAACCATCTGCAATAAATTATGCCAATTTCTACAGCTGAGTAATAAAAACGATAGTTTAGCACTATAAACAAATTATCATTACAATTAGCAGATTGCTAATGAGTTTAAGCAGACACTAGTAACAAAGAACCACAAAATTTAGTACCAAACAAAAATTAGGACGATGGTAATTTTCATTAGAACACTGTATAACTGTCACTTACTTCCATGTGAGTTACAGTTAAAACAGAACAAAACTAATATATCAGAGACATCACAGCAAGGAAAGGTTGATTAATCCCCAACATTTATAACCTAAACTCACCATTCTTCTCAGCAGCCTTTATACTACTGCTAACATAACTGATGACTTGTTTAGTCTTCCATTTAACTGTTCCATTTATGCCATCAGCAGAGTGCAACAAAAAAGCTTTCCAAAATAAAACAGATGGAAGATGAATGAATTTATACCATGTCAATAATTCCTCAGAGGGAAAAGGCCACCAGTCAGAAGGACAAACTTTAGAATTTTTTAAAAAATGGCATTGCCTGGCTAGAGTATACATTTATTGGTAATCTATAATTAAGACGTTCAGCCATCAAACCCACAAATATCTACACGTCAGGAGTATTCCCACCAATTTTTGTCTTTTTCTTCCCTCGGATGGAAAATGTTAAAGGAAAATATGGGTTGAATATCTAAATAAGAGCTGATGAAGGGAGCATTTAATTAAAAACTTGACATAGAGACAATAACTTGTTGTGGGTCTGGAAGGGTTTAATTGCCAGTACAGGATGAGTATCCCCTATCCCAAATTCCTGAGACCTAAAGTGTTGTATATTTCTGTTTATTTCAGATTTTGGAATACCTACATATAGATGATGAGATATCTTGGAAATGGTACCCAAGGCAAAACATTAAATTCATTTGATACGCACCTTATCCACATAGCTGGAAAGTAATTTTATACACAATA